ATTAGCGGCTGTAGTATTCACTTTGAAGATTTGGAGACACTACCTATACGGAACAAAATGTCAAATTTTCACATATCATAAGAGTTTACAACATCTGTTCCATCACAAAGATCCGAATATGCGTCAGAGACGATAGTTGGAATTTGTTAGTGATTACGATTGTGAAATTTCGTATCATCCAGGAAAGGCAAACGTAGTGGCCGATGCTTTAAGCCGACAAGAGAAAAGTGGAACTATCAAGGCTATAGCTCTACGAGTTGAGTTATTACCAAGTATTCAAAAACAACTGCAAGAATTTCAACATGAAGCTTTGAAGGAGGATAAAATTAAACAAGAAAGATTGGGTGGATTAATATCTGAATTTGTGAAAGATAGCAGAGAGTTTTGGAATTTCCAAAACAGAGTTTGGGTACCATGCTATGGTGATCTTTGGAAACGTATCTTGAGTGAGGCTCACAAATCACGTTTTGCAATTCATCCAGGTACAAATAAAATGTATCAGAATCTGAAGCAACATTATTGTTGGCCAGGTATGAAGAAGGATATAGCTAAACATGTTGAGCAATGCCTGACATGTCTTTAGGTGAAGATTGAACACCAACGTCCTTATGGTAAGTTGCAATCCTTAGAAATTCCAGTTGGGAAACGGGATCATATTACTATGGATTTCATAACCAAACTGTCAAGGATATCAAAAGGTCACGATGCTATATGGGTGATTGTAGATCGGTTATCCAAATTTGCACATTTCTTATCGACGAAAGAATCATATTCAATGGATAGAATGGCAAAACTGTACATTGATGAGATAATGACACGTCATGGTGTTCCTTTATCAATTATTTCTGACAGAGATAGCCGATTCACTTCTATGTTTTGGAAGAGCTTTCAAAGAGAAATGGGTTCACAGATTAAGCTTAGTACAGCTTATCACCCTCAAACCAATGGACAAAGTGAACGAATTATCCAAACATTAGAAGATATGTTGAGAGCTTGTATCATTGATTTTGGAGGATCATGGGATAGTCATTTGGCTCTGGTGGAATTTGCTTATAACAATAGCTACCATTCAACTATTCAAGCTGCACCTTTTGAGGTTCTGTATGGACGAAAGTGTCGAACTCCTTTGTGTTTGAATGAAATAGGCGAAAAACAGTTAGCTGGACCCGAGCTGGTTCAACAAATAGCAGATAAAATTGGCTTAATAAGAGAACGTATGAAGGTGGCACAAGATAGATAGAGAAGTTATGTGGATAAACCTCAGAAGCCAATTAAATTCCAAGAAGGTGATAAAGTGATGTTAAAGGTATCACCTTGGAAAGGAATGGTACGTTTTGGTAAAAAGGAAAAGTTGAGTCCAAGATATATTGGAACATTCCCTATCATTGGAAAAGTTGGAGAAGTGGCTTACAAACTAGAACTTCCTTTGGAACTAAGTGGAATCCATGATACGTTTCATGTATCAAATTTAAGGAAGTGTCAAATAAGCCCAGATATAGCGGTGCCTTTACCTGATATTAAAGTTGATGAAAGGTTGTGCTTTAAACAAATCCCTGAACTCATTACTGACTTCAAAGTAAAGAAACTTTGAAATAAAGAGATCGGGTTAGTAAAAGTTCAGTGGCGTTATCATAAAGGACCAGACACCACCTAGGAATCAGAATCAGAAATGCGAATGAAATATCCCTACTTGTTTGCTTAATAGAATTCTGGGACGGAATTCTTTTTTAAGGAGGAAATATTATAATATTTGGTATTTGTTAATTAGTGATTAGTTAGTTAATGTCGGAATTTCAGGTTATTATTATATTCGTAAAATTTTGTTGTATATTTAACGAAATGTGTGTATTTGGTTTATGTTATTAAAAAGGATTGTTAAAGGGGGGGGGGAAGAGTCGGTTGTATGTCACCGCCCCACAAAGTTTTTCATTTACTATATATAGTAAATGGGGCTCATAAGAAAAAGTTTACACTTTTTGAAGAGGAAAGTCTCCTTATAGTATCATCCGGATTGGCAGAAGAAGAAAAAAGAAGAGAATTCAAAACTAGGATATTCGGTTTTTAAGGTGAGTGTAATATGCTTTGAGTATTAATTGTTTGTATACAATTCAACTGCAATTGGAACTGGCTTATTACGATTCACATTACATATTGTGCGGATTCAACCTAAACCGGACAAGTGCTGTCCGGATTCCACCTAAACTGGCCAAGGTGTTGTCCGATATAACCTAAATCGGCCAAGGTATTGTCTGGTATAATCCTAAATTGTCCAAGAGTTGTTCGATGTGGCCCTAAACCGCTCATAGGCCATCCGGTTTAAATTGTTAAATCGTCCAAATATCACCCAGGTTCTCTTCTAAATTAGTGTTGTCCGGATTACATCTTCGGACAGTGTTGTCCGGATTACATCTCCGGACAGTTGACCGGATTCCATCTCCGAATAAGGTTGATCGGATTTCATATCCGGCTGATTTTGGTTTGATTTCACTATTGGTTTAGACTTGATTTGAATTTAATATAATAGTGGTAATGGCAGTGTAACCGCGAGAGAGTGGTAATGGCGGTGTAACCGCGAGAGAGTGGCAATGGCGGTGTAATCGTGAGAGAATAATAATGGCGGTGTAACCGCGAGAGATGGCAATGGCGGTGTAACCGCGAGAAAAGGGTAATGGCGGTGTAACCGCGAGAAAGAGAAATTCTATATCAGAATATAGATAAAAGTACATATGTTTGTACAGGTTTGTTTCTAAACTACTAGTTTTGGAATAAAAGCTTTTATATGAGTTTGTACACTCACTAGACCCTTTGGGTCTAATGCTCGGTTGTTGGACTAATCTGTTTTGCAGGTCATCATACATCACAAGACAAAGGGAAGGGGAAAGTTTAAGCAATCATGTAGATGCATATTAGAAAAGTTTTTGTTAACCCATATTTTGTAAACAATATAATGTTTGGTTATCAGATATGGTTGTTATGTAATACATATGAGTAAAAATTGTGGGTTGTTACAGCATGCTCCCCCTCGGATGATGGTACAGAGGAACCAGGTTCAGAACCAGAGGTATTGTGCTCTGGCTCTACAGAACTGGGCTCTGATGCAGAGCTTGTTTGCTCTGGTTGTGGATTCGCATGATCACAAGAGGAATCAGATGTGTGTGAAGGACCAGAGACAGATGTACTTGTAGTTTGTGGTTCTTCATTTACACAGGCAGACTCATCTCTGGGTGCACGTACAAAGATTTCCTCATCGCCATAGAAGTCTTCAAATAAAAGCTTGGGTTCCAATTCCCTTTACTTCATTTGAGAATTGGAAGTCGACTTGTTGAGTTCGAGTCCAGAGCTAAAGTACTCTGAAGTGATTTGCTCTTTATCGTCGAACGAGACGTTGATGCTTTCCATGACAGTCTTGGTTCGTTGATTGAAGACTCTATACGCCTTGGCTTGTGTAGAGTAACCAAGGAACTTGCCTTCATCAGCCTTCTTATCAAACTTGCCAAGTTGATCACAGTCATTTAGAATGAAGCATCTGCAACCAAAAACATGTAGAAACTTAACATTGGGCTTTCTTTGGTTGATTAATTCGTAAGGCGTCTTCATATGCCTCTTTTACCACCGTTGCTCTATTTTGGATAAAGCAAGCGGTTGAAATGGCTTCTGCCCAAAAGTGGGTTGGAAGACCAGAGCTTGCGAGCATTGTTCTTGCTGCTTCAACCAGAGTGCGATTCTTTCTTCTACTACACCATTTTGCTGTGGTGTTCTTGCTGCAGAGAAGTTATGAGATATGCCTTCCTTGTCTAAGTACGCATCAATTTTTGCGTTCTTAAACTCAGTTCCATTGTCACTTCTTAGCTTCTGAATTTTGTTCTGTAGAAGAACTTGAATCTTGGTCATCAGCTTAATCAGCAGCAGTGGGACATCTGATTTCTGCCTTAAAAACTCAATCCAAGTATATCGTGAATATTCTCTATGAAGGAAGAACATGGAGCAATCATAGATATTAGTTAGGAAATTTGCTCATTTTGGCATTCCCTTTTGTTACCTTGTAAAATGACAATACTTCATATTGGAAGTTGTTTCACATACTTGTCTCTCTAATCCACACACACCATCAACTTTGATGGGAGAGGGGACCATGAAGAAATTATAGTCAATTGTTGTGAGATATTGATTGATTTGGGGATCGATTGAGTGAGAGAGCGTGAGAGCGAGAGCGAGTGCGGCTGTGAGAGATCTGGAAAGCGAGAGTGTGAGATGTTGTGAGAGCGTGAGAGATCAAGAGAGATGAGTTTAAGAGGTATTAAGTGATAAAACTACACTTAAAATTTCAGAGGAAAAATAAGTCATTAAGCTCGTATTTGAACCAAAAAAACAAATGCTCTTAATACCAAAAACGTCTGACCGAATCAAACTACAAAGACATTAAGAGCTTAATATCAAAAAGAAAAATAGGCCCTTAGACCTTGTTTGGGTTTTCAAAAAAAATTATTAGTCTTTTATGTCCGATTAGTTAAAAGGTAGGGCAACTCAGACTGTTCGTTTTTTCCAATTTTTATCTCTATATAAACATTGGCTTCGCAATTGAAGTGGAGGGCTTTTTTTCAAAAAAAGGGTAAAAAATAAAACCTATGGGTTCATTTTTTAATCCTTTTTTTAAATATCAACTACTTGACGTTCATCCGATGCATCCGCTATGGTTATTTCTTATCCTGTAATTCTACATGCTCCCATAGCAATAACACAATTAGATTCGTTCTTCATAGACAAATTTGGGATTTGCGAAATATACACCAAAAAACTACATAGAAAAATTTGGGATTTGCTATGGTTCGTAACAATCTATCTTCCGGGTCATACCCCAAAAAAAAAAAAAACAAAAAAAAAACTTGTATATATATTTCTTGACCAAGGCCAAAATGAAGTGTTTACACCTTCTTTTGATTGATGCATTCCTTGGGTTGAAGGCATGAGAAAATGAAAGAAGCAAAGCAACAGAATGAATATAAAGAAATGAAGGTATGAAATGCGATTCATTTCTCTATTCATTATGAAGATATGATACAATAGTCAAATACCTTCAAACACTATTCTTCCCCTTCCATGGCAAGCAGGCAGGACTGACTGTACAAACCAACAACACTACTACACCACCCAAATATCAATCAATATTCACTCTGCATCTCCACATTTATGGTAGTAATCTAATCGCCAGCCACCACGACATCTTTCTTTTGGTTTTCGATCGATGATGTTCATATTTGAATGCTACGGATATCTTCTATACAAACACACCAACACTAGGAACGAACGACACACACATTGCTTACTTCACTCGGAAATCGTGTCTAAAGATTGTCAAATTTTGAGTGAATTTGTCACGGTTCTTTGAATCCAAGCTTCTAGATACGTCACCCATTAGTTTGTCAAAACACAACGAAAGCCGCTGATGCTGATCTGCTGGCTGCAATTTCACACAAAAAGATTCAGCAATAAAAGCAAGATGCATATTAGTTGATGTATCAACTTCTTCTGTAAGTTGGACCCCAAATTTAAGATGCAACTATTTCTGAACTAAGGGAATCTCCAATGGGTGGGTCTTGGACCAATACATTGCCACATCTGCTTGGAAAAAACCAAGTTATATCATTGTGAGACAAAAAAAGTGTCATTTGTTGTGGGCCCCAAAGCCATTCATCAATTTTTAATTATAAATCATGGACTGGTTAATGACTATGACTAGGAGTGGAAGGTTTATAGAATGTCTTAAAGAGAAATCGGATGTGGCAGAATCAAGGTTTATGGCCAGAGATGCTCTTTGTTGAAAAAAGTACAGATCAGAATCAAAAACTTTGACAATCTGGATGGCATATGGTTTCTACTACGAGTTGCACGGGTATCTAAATAAACCCATTGCTAGACCTGATGATTTTTTCATCACCAACCCACAGTTGGAGGGACCAGTGATGCAACAGTTTCACCTTACCGGGTTCTCCAACTAAGTGTATAACTGACTTGACATGAAATTTGTTAGATATATAGGATATGTCTGTATTCCTGCTATACTAAAGGATTATATATTTTGGTCCATCCAGTAGTCTATGTTTTATTACATTGATCAACAAACCAGATAGGGTTTGTTGGCTCCAATTGTTACATGAGAACTAGGTCTAGCTTCCAAACATTCCGCCATGAAACGAGCCTCAAGATGCCTAGCCGTCAGCATAGCAGTGCCTAGCTTATCAAACCAACAGGTGGAGCTATTCTCCCACCAGCACTCACAGCAATGCAGCTTAGGGGAAATTTACTGAACACTTGCCGACTCTTACCCCGCTTACCCGGTCACAGATTATGGTCATTTTGCTAACCAATAATCCTACCAGGTAAGGTAAGTGAGGGTAGTGACTCTTACTCGGTAAGCGCTTATCCGGTTTATTTTGGTAAACAACCCCTAAGTTGTAATTTTCTGGAGGTTTTGTTAAGAAAATCTTGCAACTATTATCAAATTTGACAGTCAGAAACTGAATTTTCAGTTACCATTTATACAGATGAATACAAATAAGGAACATCAACCTTTGATAAATTTGTCACGATTCAATTTCATGAGGTTTTGTACGAATTGCTATTAGGGAACTGAACAAAATAAGCATGTTTCCAAACCGTTGTGCAGTTCTTGTGGGATGTAATTTATTGTGTTTGATGGTGAATAAGACGCATTTTGTATAATGAGTCACAGTTGCATTGATCATTTATTCTGGGATGACTAAAAGCCATAGAGAGCTCATTTCATTGTGTAGGACAGAGTTGAAGGAGAGATAGCATTCAGTAGACAGGCTTACATGCACCGACAGAACATGAAATTTAACAAAAATGATTGCATAAATAAGCATTTAAATTTTTGCTGCGATGATGTGATAAATGTCTTATTGGTAAGTCGTAACTAGCATGTTAGCAGCAAAAAAATATTAAAATAATTAACGCATAAGCACAGAAGAAAGTCACAAACCTGTGAGCCTAGAATATGAGCTTTCAGATCCGAAAATATCTGCAATTAAATGGTGGTAACTTCGGTCAAAGATCAAATCACACCCAAATAGAAGTACAAACAAGTATCAGGTTGCATGAGTGAATAGTCACAATTTGATTGTTAAGAGTGAAATAGTGATGATTTAATTTCTTACTGGTAGTAGTCTGCAACATCACTAGTCTACTTGTAGGTATAATGGAAATCATCAAGGATAGAAGTACAGATCAAGTATTTGGGACAAATGATAAAAAAATAGGGATGTTGAGTTAGAGGACTAGCAGCAACCTGATACCTGAAGAACCATTCTACTCGAAATGATGAGCCACATCTTGGCTTGGGATAACAAAACAGACTACTATGCAACTTCAAATTTATGTGGACTAAAGAAACTCTTGATAACTACATCAAAACTTTATAACACATGCTACCAACTAGAAAAACATTGGTGGCCAACCAGTGACAAAATCAATCTTGACTTATGCAAGTTGTTAGATGTTTTGCATGCTGGACATTCTGATTCCCATTCTTACTTGCATCCTCATAAGGAACACACTAACCATCTATCCCAATTTTTTATTTTCCATATCTTGCTTTTTATGAAAAACTATCATTGGCCCCATAATTTCAATATAGATACCGATTCAAAAAAGGTCAAGAAGCCACACCCTATAAACATGTGAGACTAGAAAAACTACATGTGTTGCACTGTGATAAAACAATAGCATAGGTCTTCTGCTGTACAACGGGGAGCATATTGTTCAACTTGAAAATTAATATATTATTTATATTTATTTATGAATAGATACATTTGCGAGAAAAAAACTATTCTTTCATTTTAATATTATCATCAATGTACGAGGCAGATTTCCTCTAGAAAAATATGCAATGTAACTTCACATGTAAGGTTAAGACTAACAAGAACATAAATGGCAAAAAAAAAGTTCAGAAAATACCACAGCTCATCAGATTATTATGGAATAGAAGGAGAATCTATGCTAAGTTGCTAATATTTACTCATAATAAAAAAAGAGAGGAACAAGGCAACAATCACAGGAAAACATGTCACCTGCTCATTGATTAGTATCAAGCTCAGCATTGGTCTGCTAAGGCTCCATTGATTCCCACAATCCTCAAACAGAACAATCTCAAACAGGGTCTTCAGTATCTGATGAATTAAAAAAAATATTAAACAAGTACCAGATCAGAAATCCACACAAACTAAAACTTGGATTTGCCGGACTTACTGTTGAACTAATCTAGGTTAAAGATGAAACAGAGAAGTCCATATTAAGGACATAAATTAAACCCAACCGTTCACTTGGTGATTGAGAAACCATAAATAGGGCGGGCTGCTTTTAGCCAAACCATCCGAGCATTTAATACAAGCATTCTCATCCCTTCTTGTGTTTTTTTGCCTTATCTGTTATCTAGCCAATCCATAGTTTGGTAGGCTTACTTGGTGCAACAATGGCACGTTTTGACTAAGGCTGCATGGTGCAATTTGTGTGAAATCAGGAAGTCTATGACACTAGGGTAAAGCATAGGTATTTAAATCTCGTTGAATGGTCTAGAACTTGATATCACCGGTAAAAAATTTGACATCCATCTGCAGAAAAGACAGGTTAACAGTATGTTTTCTTGTATCTTATGTTTATTCACGTTCTATTCTTACATCTTATTAATGAGGACTGAGGCTAACACAAAATATCTCAGATATTTCTGGTAAAATGCAAAATCATGATGGGATCGGTAGCATGTGTAAACTTAGAGAAAGTGAAAAACAAAGCAAAAATGGGCATCAACAAACATACAAGGAATCATGGGAGGAGACGAAACCAGCATATCACATGACATCCACCAAGTAAAAGCATATGACAGAAGAAGAGAAAATGGAGAGATGAAGAAAAGGGAAAGAGAAGTTAATATAGGGTCTTTTACTTCCACATTGGTGCTGATCTAAGCAAATCACGCAGAGGCCTCGCCTAGCACATGACTAAGCCATAAGGTGCCCATCAAACTCATGCAAAATAATATCCCTGCTCCTAGCTTTGGTTAAAATCTAGGCAGTCACCTTTCATAACCTTGCTCATTCCCCTATTCTTCCTACCCTCCTTACACACATATGGTAACTCTCTCCCACTCTCTCTCTCTCTAGGTCTCTCAGGACCAAGAAGCCCTGTTTGATAACATTCAGATCCATTAACCACGATCAGGCAACGAACTCACGATTTTCCACAACAAATATATTGTTTAACCTCCTTTCATTCGTACTGCATCTAGGGCTCATGGAGCAATGGATAACAAAACACTAGAGTAAGATGCTGTTCAGGCCAGTATCTTATTTTGCTACAAATTTGGAAGTCATATAAAACGAGATCGTATGTGAATTACGAAAGGAATGCATGAATGAGGCGTCAAAGGAAATAGCATGTGCAAGACAAGGTTATTAGTCGAAGAGGGCACAAATATTAGTTCTTGGAACATGGTTTCAGGGAGCATTCACCTCTGAAAGAAGTGGTAGGTAACAATTAGTATCTTCTTTAGACCTCAACCACCTACCATATATCCATCAGTTGACAAAAATGTAGAGACCTTCCCATTGGAAACCCTAAACCTAGAACTTCTCTTAATTTCCTGTTACTAGATTGCTCAAAGACCCGCATGGGGTAATGAGCCAATAAGGTTCTACAGAATTACAAGTGTTTCTGGTGTCCAAGAATTGACCAGTTGCTATGGTAAGAAAATAGAGAAGCCACATTTCAATTTACTTATTGAAGGTAGCTTACGATCAAGACAGCAAGTATGCGAGTAAATACCAGAAACAAAAGATATGAGCTTTCCTTGAGAAGAAGAAACAACATCAACATGGATCAAGTTGTATATCATTCCACATTATAGGGTCCTATTGACCATATAATCAAAAGATGAAATCACCAATTGAAAATGGAAAACATTAAATTGTACCATCTAGAAATTTCATATCATTTTCAGATTCCGATTTGATCATGAATGTCATCAACGGACACTAGTTTCTAATGTGAATCATTTGGTAAAAGTAACTTACTTCTGGGAACAATGTTGGGCATTCTGCAATATGCCGAGCAAGGTTGACTGCAGCAGGTGAAGTCGGAGCCTCTGCAATGGTAATGTTGTTGAAATAGAAAGCCGCCAAATTGTCTACTGCTGATGCAGCCTGACATAAAAAATTTAATTATCGTGAATAAAAATAAGATTTTAGTATTAATATTAGTGGTCAATCAACGTTAAAATCAATGAAAGAAGAAAACAATGCAAATACTAGTCATCAGCTAGAAGATACACTAGCAAAGCAACGCTATGCATCAAATAGTTTAGCAGTTAAAATGAAAATAAGCTTCAAACCATACAAACATGTAACACAAAAATCCAGTCATGAAGAAGTTGGAAGGTTCACAACTTCATAACATTTAACTGCAGTCAGGTAAACAGAAATTTAACTCCACAACCTCTCCGCTTTAAATCTAATAGCTAAGTAAAAAAAAGTGATAAGAAAGCAACTACAACAGATATACATCAAACAAGAAATGTTGGTCAGAGATGTCAGGCTGCAACAGATATACCTGCCTTATTCATGAGATAACACCATATATCTAGAACACTGGCATTTACTTGCATTTTTACATCTGTGTAGAATGTGTTCATCTTGTGATCTTAAGACAATTTCCCTTAACTGAAGAGTAGAAGATATCAAACAGTTATTAAAATCGATATTGAAATAACTAAAGTATGTATTGTCAAACTATGATTCACATTATGATATTTTTAAAATAATTGAGGGTATATGAACTTAGTTTAATGTATCTTATTATCCATCTCTTGTTGCTGAGAACAGCCTTTCAGCAACCACTGTATGTTGCTTTGATACTGCATTACTCAAATTGACATTCCTTTCTCCGATATGGCGATATCAAAGTTTGTGATGACTTCTTCCTCTTTTTTCAGCAGGTTTATCTTTTATTTCTATGAACTCTTCTCCTTTTCCCTCCATTTCTTCGTTGTCTATTTCATTCCATAACCTAATGATATCAATGTCATCAAACTCATCTTGTTCAATTATTTATTTCCCTTTGAGTTCTTTCCTAGAACTCATTTTATCTGCTTTCAACATTTCATTTTTCTTTCTTGTTATCTCATCTATTCTCTTAGCACATTGGACCATCTCTTGACCTATGCCATGTGTTACTTCGTGTAAAAAGTACAGATCAAAACCTGGCATGTTAGAATATTAGACTGAATGTACTTAAGTGCAATTAGTATAATGTAGAGGGCACTCCTATGTAATTAGTATCTCTATATATATAGAGACCAGTCATAATCAGGTTACATATCAAATCAATACACAAAACCCTTGTGGTTTATTTTGGTAGAAGAGCCAAGTTATCAAAACCCTACCTGCCCTCTTGGTCACGTCACTACAAGACTGATTGTCCGCTGTCGCCGCTGCCGTCTCTCTTAATCTGACCGTCCGCTGCCACTGGAATCTGCCGCCGCCGCAGCTGGAATCTGCCGTCTGCTGTCCGCTGCTGCAGCAGGAACCCTAATTTTTGAATCTGTTGTCCGCTGCCGCCGGAGCCCTAATTTTCAGTCTTCTTTTCTTTCACGGTACATTACTACATCATGGCTCTAATAGCCTCTTTCACAACAGCAAAGAAACAATCTCACAATTCAAACAAGTTTGCTTTTACCCTAACTCCTACAAACTACGGTTATTGGAAAACAATGATTCAACCCTTTCTTGTCACAAATAACCTATTCGGATACATAGATGGATCGATATCGTGTCCATCCAAACATCTACCATCAACCACAACCACATCCGATCCAAACACTACCACCGATCCACAAGATAACCCTAATTACCCAATTTGGATTTCCAATGATGCTCATGTTCGCATGCTGATTATCTCCACTATCTCCGAAGCCTCTTTTCGACATGTCCAGGGTGAAACTTCCCGTAATCTATGCTAGCCCTAGAACTAGCCAATGCCCCTCACACATCATCCAGGGAATATACACTGAAAACTCAACTTCTCAAGATTCAGATGAAAGGTGATGAAACTCTAGAGGCTTATCTCAATCATGCACAGGAGTATGCAGATGCTCTAGCTGCCATTGGCGAACCTGTCAAAGATAAAGATCTTCTTATGCTTGTCGTTTCTGGTCTGCGTGAAGAATACAATGATCTCAAATCTACCATCATTGCACGTCAATTCCCGACTGCCTTCAATAAACTTCTTGCCGTTCTCAATCACCATGACTACATGCTTGGGAAAGCTCGTGCCCCTACTCCATCTGTTTCTCAGGTTTTTGCAGCTACAACCGGCAATTCTGGTTTGTCGATGCCTTCTGGTTTGTCACAGCCTTCTGTCCATCATGATCAACAACTTGCTGCTCAAATCAGTTCCATTGCATCTGCCCTTGGTTATCAATTGATGTCTGCTGCAACTTCAGGCCCTCAAGCTTTCTATGGTTCTCGTCAGCCCCACAACAACCGTGGTAGCAGCCGTGGACGTGGCGATCGTCGCCAATTTAGCTAGGCATCCAATCAAAACACAGTATACGGAACTTGTAACCGTTGTGGTATTGGGCACCTCCCATCACAGTGTCCTAATCGTGATCCATCCACCATTAGTCCTCGGCAAACTGCTAACTTTGCGAACAGTCGTGCCTCCCCATATGCTGAATCAACTTCACGGTTTCTTGACACATGAGCGAACAGTCATGTTACGCCTAATTTAGCAAGCATGGATAACTCCAAAGCTTATCATGGTAGTGACGCTCTCCATGTTGGTAATGGTAGTGGACTCCCTATACTTCATATTGGCTCCTCAACCATTTACTCACGACACAAACCCTTTTGTCTATCTAATATTCTTCATGTTCCATAATTCACCAAAAATCTTTTTTCTGTCCAGAAATTTTGTTTAGATAACAATGTCCTCTTCGAGTTTCACTCAACTTTTTTTGTCGTGAAAGGACAAGTCTATACGCACTACCTTGCTTACGGGCCCAAGTGAGAATGGTCTTTACTCTGTTCGTCTACCCTAGCTCAAGTCTTACCACCACCTCCACTACACCTATTGAACCAATCTTCGGCCCAACCCCAAACAACGACGTCCCTTCAATCCCTCAGCTAATCTTACCACCACCTCCACTACACCTATTCAACCAATCTCGTTTACCATTGTCAACAAATCTCCTAAATGGCGTCAAGCTATGGCCGAGGAGTACTTTGCTCTTGTTAAAAACAGCACGTAGTCACTAGTTCCTCGTGCTCATGATACTAATGTTATTGACTGTAAGTGAGTTTACAGGATAAAACGGGACAAGACAGGTAACATCACTCGTTACAAAGCGAGACTCGTCGCAAAAAGGTTTTCAACAACATGGCATTGATTTTCACGAAACTTTCAGTCCTGTTGTCAAGACCACTACCATCAGGGTTGTTTTACCGCTTGCGGTTTCTCAAAAATTGTCGCTCAGGCAACTTGATGTTCAAAACGCTTTTCTTCATGGCCATATTACTAAAGCAAGCCTCCAGGATTTATTGACCCACAACAATCAGATCATGTTTGTCTATTCCACAAGTCCATTTACGGTCTCAAGCAGGCCCCACGGGCTTGGTTTCACGCCTTTCCAAGGCTCTTCATACCCTTGGCTTTGTAGGCACCAAGATTGATCATTCACTGTTTATTTTCAGTCATGCTGGCACTCTATTATACATCTTAGTGTATCTTGATGACATCATCATGGGAAACAATAATCCTGCTATCGACGCCATCATTCAACAATTAGGCTCAAGTTTTGCGATAAAGGATCTAGACCCTCCAAACTACTTGGGTATTGAGATCGTCCCTCAAGGACTAGACATCATCCTTTCTCAAAAGAGGTACATTTTGGAACTCTTACAACAAGCAGGCCTCTTAGACTCTAAGCCCATGCCTTCCCCCATGACCTCATCATGTTCGCTATCTTTAGCTGACAATCCTGCTTTTTCTGACCCAGTTAAATACAGACAGGTCGTTGGTGCTCTTCAATATGTTACTCTTTCTCGGCCAGATATCACTTTTGCAGTTAATAAAGTGTGTCAATTCATGCATGCCCCTATTGAATCACATTGGTTTGCGGTCAAACGAATTCTACACGATCTTCGGGGTACTATTGACTGTGGCTTACTCATTCATCAGGCATCTACTTTATCTCTTCAAGCCTTCTCTGATGCTGATTGGGCTGGGTGTCTAGATAATCATCAGTCCACGGGGGGATTTGCCATCTATTTGGGTTCTAACCTTGTATCTTGGACCGCTAGCAAACAAAGCACTGTTTCTCGATCCTCTACCGAGTCAGAATACAAAGCTCTGGCTGATACTATAGCTGAACTTACCTGGCTTCAAGCTCTCCTTCGTGAACTTGGCATTCATGCACCATCAGCTCCTATCTTGTGGTATGACAATCTAGGTCCAACCTATCTATCAACCAACCCGGTCATTCATGCACGAATAAAGCATGTGGAAGTTGACTTTCATTTTGTTAGAGAAAAGGTTGCTCAAGGAGACCATCGAGTACAATTCATTTCCATAAAAGAGCAGATTGCTAATATTTTCACAAAACGGTTGCCGACTCCTAGATTTCTATCCTTATGATCCAAGCTACAGGTTTTTACCTGTCCTTAACTTGTGGGGGCGTATTAGACAGAATGTACTTAAGTGCAATTAGTATAATGTAGAGGGCACTCCTATGTAATTAGTATATCTATATATAAAGACCAACTGTAATTAGGTTACATATCAAATCAATACACAAAACCCTTGTTGTTTATTTTAGAAGGGGTGTTGAGGTATATTTTTCATAAGGTAATTGTGAATAATTAAATTTATTTCTTTTAAGACCTTAGGCTTTGAAGGATCTAGGAAAGTGGTTCTTAAAGAAAAAATGAATTACAGAAGAATCACTTTCTCGGATCCTTCAAATTCCTAAGGTCTTAAAGAAAATAGATTTAATTATTCACAATTACCTTATGGAAAAATACCTCAATGGCCCTTCTAACATGCTAGGTTTTGATCCGAACATTTCACCGGAAATAGCACATGGCATAGGTCAAGGGAATGTCGAATATTCTAAGAGAATAGATGAGATGACAAAAAAAGAAAAACGAAATGTTGAAAGCGGATAAAATGTGTTCTAGAAAAGAACTCAAAGGGAAAGAATTAATTGAAGAAGACGAGTTTGATGACATTGATATCATTAGTCCTTGGAATGAAATAGACAACAAAAAATGGAGGAAGAAGAAAAGTTTATAGAAATAAGAGATAAACCTGCTAAAAGAGAGGAAAGAAGTCATCACGAACTTTGATATCACCATATTGGAAAAGAAATGTTAGTTTAAGTAGCGCAGTATCAAAGCAACACGGAATGGTTGTTGAAAGCCCGTTCTCACGGATAAGAGATAGATAGTAAGATACATTCAACTATGTTCAATTACGTTCAACTATGTTCAATTACCGTCAAATATTTTAAAAATATCCTGATGTAAATCGTAGTTCGACAAATACATACTTCAGTTTTCTTAATATCAATTTTAATAACTATTTCATATCTTCTACTCTTCAATACAGTGAAATAATTTCCATATCACAAAATGAACACACTCTACATAGATTTGACTTGAGTCGTTGGCTCCAAAAAGTAAATGTCGTTGTTCTAGACATATGGTGTTATCTCCAAAAAAAAGTCCCATAAGTCTACATTTCCTATTTATTAGTTATAGTACTCTTCGATCAAATAGTTCGGTTTGATTTACTTGTCCACTTAACCTGCAACTTATCCCTTGCAACACTATTGTACAAGCAAGAACTTCAAGACAAATCATTTCTCATATTTTCAAACTTAGAAGTAACAAATAAGTCATGAGACAAACTGAACCTTAAAAATCAAATAGACCAACAATTTCAGAAGTATAGAACATAAGGGGCTATTCCATCCTTACATGCCATATCTATAGCTTAAAAATATCTTGTAATTGGAAGGATATGGCGGAGTGATACATTGATACATGGTTTGATATATCTATAAAAAAATTAAGGATTTGGGGAGCATATGTATGTTTGTACGTATATATACATATATATAGTCGGATTCAAATGAGAACGTTACCTATTTAAGAGAAGAACAGTCAAATCACCTGTGATTTACACTAATATCACGTATAAAATCACATGTGCTTCACGCGACTTTTCCCCACAACCATAGGGTCGCCCGCCCACCTTTTTGGCCGTTAATGTAAAATCACATGTGATTTTGCATGTGATTTGACCGTTTCTTTTTCTCTTACAAGTTAGCATCCTCATTTGATCCTCCTTCTATATGTGTGTGTGTGTACACACACAAATATAGATATGTATATACAATGATATGTACATACAGACATACATATAAATATATAGATAGACATGTGTATACACACATGCACATAATATACACACTCATATATATATATATATATATTTGTGAGAACTTCTACCTATAAGGTTTTTTTAACATGATTCTTTTCCATCTAAGTATAGTTTTTAATATATTGACTAACATAAATTTATTATTTAAATCAAAAGTGAACTCTAATTTTAAAACGTAGGGTAACAAAAAGTACAATATGTTCAACTGAAAATACACATACCATAGAAACACAACACACATAAAGGATGCTTAACCTTATCATGCTTTTACTTTTCCCAAGTGCATCCATCATAGCCTATTTTCTATCCACTAAAAATATAGGGTCCCTTCATCTTGCCTTTGTTTTCCTCACTCCCACAAGTCCAAAAAAGATGCTGTCAAACCCACAGCCCCTTCAAACTCTTGAGGAACTGGAACCCAAAATAACCCAACATGGGGATCTGATGAGTGGTAGAAACACCCTTGCTTCACAGTTTCAAAGATAACCCTAAGCTTGTTTTACATTTGTAACTTATCTTTACTTTTTACTTACACAACTACAAAGACAATTTTTTTATTTTCTTCATCAGGCATCAAGCAAAGAAGCAATACATTCAAGATATTGGAGCAGGTTATTGTTGCATAGGTTAATGAATATGATTTAGGGTGTTGGAAGTAAGTTAGGTTATGTGCAAGGAATATCAGCAATAAAATATAGGACAGAAGAATTTGCATATGGTGTTCATTGATCTAAAGAAGACAGGATTGCATGCTAGGACGAGTCATGTGGTTGCTTCCTAGGAAGAAATAAAGCCTAACAATGCATGTAGAGTGACATAGATTTGCTCAAGTACATGAAGGTTGGCATCATGACTTTGTTTATTTGCTGGTTATGGATGAGCTCATAAAAGACACAAAAAATATATCATGACCTAGTGTGTCACAATAATAATGTAAACTCATGAAAGTAAAAAGGTGTGCTAGAAAAAATATAACTTGGTGCCTTTAGGATTTTGTATTAATTTAGGCAGAAACAGAATAAACAATCTGTAACTATAGTGGTTTGCTTAAGTAGAACACTAAAAAAAAGAGAACATGCCCTAAAAGGATGCAACTAGATAAATTTTGTTACACATGACTACTGAATGATAAATTCAGTTACACCTGGGATCTTAGCCTTCACTGATCAGTCCATTGTAGTATATACTCATGTAATTAAATATACATTCCTTGAAACTACACACCTAACCCTGAACTACAGTTTGGTCTAAAGACTTGTAGTCTCCCAGCCAGGCACATGTGTGAACAAAAGATGGGAATCATCAAGTCACCACTACAAAGTACATGGACGAATCTGCCTTTCCTGTTAGCCAAGGCTAATTTATGTTAATTCCAGAGACCTATGGACTTGATTGAAAATTCTGGCAAGACCAGACAATATAGTCCGAAAATCTGGAGTTCACATTTGTGGAAGGACTAGAGAGCTAAGCACTGAGAAGAGCAAGGAGCAGTTACATATTTTATGTATTTAGTATTATGTATATGCAAGTTAATTATCATGATCTTGTCTATCACAATAAAAAGCATTCGTCAAAATGGTTACAAAACATGGAACTGCAACATTGTGAAAAACAACTACAAGATTAGACTGTCCATACATCGGAAGGTTTTATGATTTTGAAAAAGTGAAGCAATTGTGTTTATCCGGGCACTCTCTTAGAGATATTTTGGAATCTTATATAGAGATTTCTTTTATAGTAGAAATCACGAGGAGCAATGCAAATAGGAGGCATCTATGTTTTGCTGTTACTACTTGCTGGTGTTCAACCAAAAAAAGCTTTTTCTGTTTAAGTATCAACAAATTTTGAGTTTCGTTTTTATTTTCTTATTTGAAGATTTATTCTGTTTTGCTTGTAACGTTTGATATCTGTCCAACTTGAAAAGTCTTGCAAGATACAATTAAGTTAAATCATGCTGGAGTTCATTTTTGCCCACCAACCACAGAGGCACGGACTAATATTATAATATATATTCATGTTTATGTTCAGTAAACCAAAACACTTCTTACAAAAAGCCTAACCAAAAATAATCAAGAAGACTCGATCATACAAAATATGAAAAAATGATGAGGATCTTGGCCATGGGAGAAGAGCTGGATAACTTAGATGGCAACAAGCTTTTAAGTGTCTTACATGATTGGAAAGTTACATTGCAGCTCAAAGGCATAACCTATAGGATAGCAGGAACACATAATGATTTAGGGGCATAATGTGGGGCAACACAACTGCAGCTTATGCACAAAACACATGTAACACAGATGTTAATCTTGAGGTGGATGTGTGCCCACACAATCAAGTACAGATTTAAGTTTAGCAAACACCACTTGAGATGCCTGATAACCACCAATATTAGACCTTTTAGCTGCGCTGGTAAGAATAGAGGACCCGTGTCACAAAAACATTAGTTAAAAGTATGGGTAGACGAGATATATTATGCATGGATAGATCGAACCCGGTCTTAACATCATGATTGTTCATCCAAGCGTCAATAATCATTTCAAAAAGAAGAGAAAAATAAATAATTTAAGGAGTACAACTTGCTTAATAAATACCTGAGTTGAGATGCTTGTGTCAAGGCCTTTTAATCCAGATTCTAGTGAGCCAACTATATGCATGAACGTGTTCATATCCAGGTTCAACATATAAACAATATGGCTGTTGAATATAACCTCCAAAAATGCATAATATGCCTTTGTAAGCTACAAAATACACATCATCGGCTCATGTTATCAACATTAAATGAGTAAGAACAACTTGTAGAGAGAAAATAAATCCAACCATATCAAATGCAACAACAAATTATTATTTCTATTGCAATTTGACGTGTACTATTTCTCATTATCGTCTACCGCCCTTTCTTTCCTCCCCGCTATTCACGCATGAAGATTGCCGTATGGATCCAGAAGTTTCTCTCTCAACTAATGTTCTCAAGACTTTAAGATGAACAAGCATCTACCAACTCAAAAAGTGGAACCAAAGGGTCTTTGGCCTAGCGGTATCGTAGTCTCTGGCCTCCTAGGAGATCAGGGGTTCAAACCTCACCAAAGGTGAGGAGGGTGTGTGAGTTTATTTGTTGCATTTGCCGTATATAAATATTATATACTTCAAAAAAGAAGTCAAAAAGTGGACACCAACAAATCAATCAAGAAAGTCGGTTTGGGGTGGTAAGAGATAGAATCCATCTAACATTAAATATTAGTGCCAAAGTTGATCCAAATTCCAAAAAAAATCCAAAAAGCACGACAGCATCCCATGGCCAACCCATCCAGCAAGGTATCACTTTGTCAAACCATTCCCAAATCATAGTTAGTGAAGCATATGAAACAAGTAGTTTCCAATGATGTTTAAAATTCTCAATATGAGGACAATACCGAGTATCACGGTCTATTTGGATCTTACCAAGGACAGATAGCTTGGTCTTTGAGGACTATTATGAAATCCACTTTGGGATAGGGGACAAGTCTACGTATATCCCACCCTATGCTGTTACTGCAGTAAAAATACAAAATATCGGTCCTGATATTTCAGTTATATCGGTGATATACAGGTCCAAAATAGCGGTTAATATTATATTTCTTAGAATTATATATATATATATATATATATATATTATATGTCGCCATTGATGCATTTTGTACCCACGTCTGATGAAGTAGTATTAGTAGTAATCGGGGTCATAAATGCCCTTGAAGATTGACCCCCTTACTTCCCATTGCTTTCTTTAGTTAAGCCTTAACAACAAAAATAAGTAAATTATGGTAATTAAGTTCTAACTAAGTCGAATAAGAATAATTAAGTGAGTGAGTGGGTGTTAAGACTTGGGAGTTAGGACATAAGACCTGGACCAGGAGACTGTTGGAGACCAACATGTAATAAAAACAGCCCAAACATTTGCCTTACAGAAAATCGGTATATCGGACCGCATTTTCCATCAAAATATCGGTGAAATATCGGTAAATATCGGCGATATTATCGGAACTGATATTTCACCAACAATATTTTTCCAGAGACCAATATCCGATATATCGGCAATATATTGCGATTTTTAACAGTATAGATCCCACCCCCTAAACCACATATCCGACTGGGATATACCAACATCGTTTGGTTTGGTTTGATTTCATTTATTTACTCTAGAGCTTCAAACTTGCTTAACAGGATACTTGTGTGAGGCGAATGTGTTATCTATTGATGATGCACATACTTGTACTTTCTAATGAGCAAGGAGGTATTAGTGTGATGGTTTTTCTTCAAATTCCTACTCTGGAAAGGAGTTTAAGTAAAACTATACTGCCAGAAAAGATCGGGCACTGTATAAATGATGTTCAGACAATAAATGTCAATTGGTTTCTTCTGCCAGTTGTGCAATTGATTCAACAAAATAAATTAGCAATGTATTAGATCATTAACAATTCAACTATTTCACTTGCCAAAAAAAAATCACAAACCTTCCTGTAAGCCAAAATATCTGCCAAAGGAACTGATAGTGTCATTTTTAGAGCAATATCAAGTGCATCGGCAAGAGCTCTATCTCCGTACAGTTCAAACACGCCAAAATTTACATAATTTCCAGCAAGGGCTGTCATTAGTATAAAGATATTGCTGTTAGTATAAAAGACAATCTACAGTGACCAACACAGGGCCAAATTCCATTATGGCACAAAGAATTTGAAAACAATTACTTTACTTCAGAACTATTACCTAAAAGGTTAATATCTACCTTATGACCTGTGTACACACAGGCCAAAATTAATACCCGAAATCTTACAAACTTGAAAACAAATGAACAAAAAAGTTCAAGACAAGAAGGCTTGAATACAATATATTGGCATAACACACTTCTGATATTTCAAAAATCATGCAGAATGTCTCCACAAAAGTGCTAATGCAAAACGAACGGGAATTAACATTTCTTAGTTTAAAGGTTTGCTTTACAAGGGCTAAAAGTGGGGAGAAACTGTAAATAGTTCTAGAATCTCAGGAGTAAAATATCACACAAAAAACTATAAGCCATTTGAAAAGATAACTTTAATTAGTGTCATAACAAAAGAATCGAAATGTAGCACGTGAATCAAGCAAAAAATAGGCAATCTTACAAGGTTTACTAAATACAGAATTATCAACAGCATAAACTATATGATAGGTCCTTACCCCTTGAAAGAACAGTCAAGGCAATCCATATCCCCTTGTATTTGAAGGCATAGATATCAGCAGCATTCGGAAGAGATAAGATCCTTGTTCCATATGCAACAAGAAGCTTGCTAACTTCTCGAAAAAGAAGTATCCCATTAGGAGAAGAGGAATCGAAAGTCAGACGTTGAGCCTTGTTCAGAACAAACTCAGCCATAAATTTCAACAACGGGGTGGTAACCTGAAAAATTAGACATTCTATTGAGACCTTTCTTTTAAAAGAATGATAGGTTATATCTTTTTTGTATCCGCCAAAATTTCAACTACTAGGAGGAACTAATAAGCACAATTGTTTACGAAAACAAAAACAGTCGGATCCTCTAAGAAAATTATAGCAATGCTTACTAATTGTGCATCCTAGATAACCATCATTTGTGTCATCAAGTTCCAGTTATTAGTCAATGCCAATTCTTATTGTTAAAGATCTATCTATAATCCAACTGACCAAGTTCGCATCTGTTGTTGCCTTGTTGCACACTTCCGATAATTTACCAGGACGATCCATCCATAATAATTCAACTACAAAAAACTACTAAGATGCAACTTTTGGAAAACAAAAGCCATTAATTCTTCATAAATAGATCATTACAAGGCTTCTGGAAGGGGACTGTTGATAGCTTGATTTGGAAATTGATAGGCTCGTCAGATGCATTGAGCTTAGGGCATTAGAAATGGTATTGAGCGGTGGTTGCATGTTAGAATTGCAAGTGACTTATAAATCATAGCTTCTTGGACTTTGATGTTAGAAATAACCTCACATATAATATTTTAGGTATGTTAGACTATGTGCGGGCATGACGAGGATGTCAGAATTTAAGTGGACAAAATTGTGACATCCCATCCCATGTTGGTTGTGAGGTAACAATAACATCGTGAGTCCCTTGCAAATCTTTACCAATGGACCATATCACCAGCTACAATGGTTTTAAGTTGACCAAGTGCACCACCATCAGATGACACACATAGGTGCCAATTATCACTTTATTCATACCAAAAGTTGGATTAAAGTGAAGAAATTTGGTACTGAAAACAACCGGTTGATGTGCTTACTAAGTTGATCCCCAGGAGCAAGTTCAGACGATTGGATCTGCTCAATGTTGATAGTTGAAAGTATTTTGAAACTAGGATTTCAAGTGAAGGTGGGAGATTTGATTATTAGAGTTACTCAAATATTAATTGGATGTACACAAGAATCTCCCCTGTGCGTGCAACAGCATAGCATTACAATGAACGTGTGCTCTGGGGGAGGAACTTGTTATATCTTTTTCTGATAGTTAGGGGTTGTTTGCTTCAGACAGGGGAATGAAAATGACTGGGAATGGAATGAATTTTCATCCCCCCCCCAAGTTTAACCTCGAATGATAGTTTGGGCTTCTGGAGGAATGAGCCCATTATATTATATAAAACCAAACAGTTTCTTTAATTTTCAATCTCTTTAATTACTGCTCAATACCTCTAACCAAACAGCCCCTTAGTTGTTAAAAGAAAGTCTAAATATAAATAATAATGATGTCTGTCCCATTTAGCAGTGAACAATTTGTATCAAGCAAGTTAAACTAAAATTTAGAGGGGCCCAAGTGAAGTCCAATTGAATATTGACCTTATTCACTTGCATGTTTTTAATCAGATTTGCACAGACTTAACGTTTAAATATAGTCCAGCACAGTAGCTATTGAGAAATTTCCTCCATTTACTCGAAGAACGTTTTCCATAATTTTTACTCTTTGATCAAATGAACTTTTAGAAACAAATGAGGCAATACACATCTGGAAGTTGAATCATGTTGGAAAACTATCAAATCGCTCTCCAAATGTTGACTTCCACTTCCAATGTGTTAAATATAGCAAAGTTTGGTTTACCTTTCTATATAGTAATGTTAGTATTTCCCCTTTTAGGTTTCTTGATCTTATATATATTGTAATCTCTTTGTGAAGAAGCCAATGAGAAGGGGTTCCAGCCTTTTATTCATCTAAGAAAACCAGCATTGTGGGGGGGAACTAATTCCAGCCTTTCTTTTTATATATAACAAGCACACTAATGGCACCTACAGACAAAACTCAGGGTGCGACCTCTAGTGACTTCTCCATTCCGGGTATAATCAATTTTTCTACCGTGTTAAAGATTCCGGTTAAACTTAACTCTACAAATTGGGCTCAATGGAGTATGTTTGTCCAAACTGATCTCGAAAGTTTGGACAAAGATGATTATTTAAGCAACGACCCTCCGAACCCTAAAAACCGGGAATGGAAACTGAACGATAGTGGTATCCGAATGGCTCTATGGAATGCAATGGAACCACAAGTCCTGAGTATTGCTCGGATTTATCCTACCACAAAGAAGATGTGGATCTACTTGGAGTCTTCCTTCTCAGCCAAAGAATCTTTGTCTCATACTTATTCCATGTTCGGTTCTTATTTTAGATGCGAGCAAGGTGACTCCAATCTCACTGAGTACTATACTAGACTATCAAAGCTATCAAAAAAGAGTCAAAGACCTTCCAGCCTAGTGGTAAAGGCTTGGGCATGGCATAGTCATGAACCCGAGTTCGAGCCCTGGGAGGGGAGTGTTGGCGACATTTAAGTGGGGCCATGTTTAGCCTCCAAATTTGCCGGGGATTAGTCGGGCTTTGGCCCGGACACCCTTACAAAAAAAAGCTATCAAAAGAGCTCCGAGTTCTTTTCCCTGTCACTCCTGATGTTAAAGTTCAGGAGGAGAGGTTAGCAAAAATGGATGTAATGACGTTCATTTCAGGATTGCCTGCCAAATATTCCGGTGCTCGTCCTCTACTACTGAGTCACTCAGCATCTCAGTCATTGCCATTAACGTATCATCTTACCCGATACATGTACTCGGGTCATGCTCCATCGCAACCATCCGGGACTAATGTATCCGTTGTTGCCTCTTCAAGTACCAGAAATATTGGAAAGGAAGGGTATAAGAAGAAGATCCAATGCTTTTATTGTAAGGAGTTTGGACACACCAAATATAACTGCCCAAATCGTCCTACTTCTGGTCCCGGATCTCAACTGCCACCTCATCCTTTTCGAGCCCATATAGCATCTGCAGATAATACAACCACCACTAGCACTTTCCATGATGAAGATGTCTCTTGATTCCAGCATGGTCCTTCTAGCCAGGTTTCATCTACTCTCTGTGCTAGTACAGCATAGTCAAGTATACCTTCTGCCTGTTTTTTAGCATGCTCACCATCATGGATTATTGATTCAGGAGCCACAGATCATATGACTGGAACAAAGACCTTATATCCAATCTGAATACTTATATACCCCAAACTTCGGTTCGACTTGCTAATGGATCCTTATGCCAAATTATGGGCATAGGATCCAATAGCAACTTGTCAAAACTAAACCTATCATCTGTTCTTTATGTTCCCACCTTTCCAGATAGTCTAATATCTATTAGCCAAATTACAAAAATGCATAATTTTTCAGTAACCTTTTTTCCAACACATTTGTGTCTTTCAGGAATTGGGGACGAACCGGCTTGATTGGCATAGGTTTTGAATCTGAAGGTCTATCATTTGTCTGGGTTGCGATCTGCAGTAGCACATCTATGTGATTCTAGTATTATGGAGGCTCACTATTGGCTAGGCCACCCCTCTTTGTCTGTTCTGAAACAATTGCAACCAGATTTGTCATCTGTTAAAGAGTTAGTTTGTGAGTCATGTCAGTTGGGTAAACATACTCATTGTCCCTATCCCCCTCGAGAGTCGAGTAGTGTTAACGCTTTATTTCAGTTTATTCACTCGGATGTATGGGGACCTTGTCCCATAACTTCTACTAATGGATTTAAATATTTTGTTAGATTTGTTGATGACGTTTCTCGTGCGACATGGGTTTACTTACTAAAGTCACGTAATGAAATATTTTCGGTCTTTTGTGAATTTTATGCTTATGTTAAAACCCAATGTGATGTCTCCATTAAAACTCTGAGGTCTGATAATGCAAAGCAATATTTTTCCTTTGATTTTACAAGTTATTTGTCTGAGCATGGTATTATACATGAATCATCATGTGCCTATATACCCCAAACAGAATGGCATTGCTAAAAAAAGAACCGCCATTTGTTGGATGTAGCTCGCACTATGATGATTCATTATAATGTTCCACAAAGTTTTTGGGGCGATGCAGTTCTTACATCTAATCTAATTAACCAATTAACCGTATGCCCTATTTTGTCCTTATAGGAAAGGTACCTTTCTCCGTCCTATTTCCAAAAGGCACTTCTTTCCCTCTAGCTCCTAAAATCTTCGGTTGTGTTTGTTATGTTCATGATCATCATCCAAAACATAATAAACTTGTTGCACATGCTATCAAGTGTGTGTTCCTTAGGTATTCCCGTGTTCAAAAAGGCTATCGTTGTTATAGTCCCTACCTTGTGTAGGTATTTTACCTCTACTGATGTCACATTTAATGAATCAAGTCCCTTCTATGGTAAACCTATCACCAGCACTTCCGAGTCAACAAATCTTCTTTCTAATCCTTCTGATTCTTTTGATCCTAGTGGTCTTACAGCCTTCAGTGGTGACACCAAATCTCGTTATTCCAACAATCTAGACTGATAGTCGTTTCACAGATGTGTATGTTCAACAGCGCCAACGACAAGCGTCTGAGACCCATGAGTGCCTACCTATGCATGATGTTTCTGGTACGTCTCCCGTTCCACCACCTGATACACACTTATCATCAGCCAGTATGTTTCGCCCGACCCAGTCAATGATACACCCTTACCACTACATACCGAGCCTTATGATCCTGTTGGTGCTCATCTCCCTGATATTCATGTTGCCTTCCAAAAAGGCGCACGGACTCGCACTCGATATCCCATTCATGATTACCTTTCCTACTCTCACCTTTCTTCAGAGTCATGTGCCTACACCACAGCCATTGATAGCCACATTGTTCCCAGAAATGTGACTGAGGCCCTTAATCACCCAGGATGGTTTAAGGCAATGCAGGAAGAGATGGATGCCTTACAGAAGAATCATACTTGGGATTTGGAACAACTTCCTCGTGGAAAGCGTAAAGTGGGTTGTAAGTGGGTTTTCACAGTGAAAGTTAATCCTGATGGTTCACTGCATCGTTTGGAAACCCGATTAGCTGCAAAGGGTTATTCTCAAGCCCATGGGGTTGATTATGACGAGAGTTTCCCTGGTGGCTAAAATTGTAACATCCCGTTCCCGAGGGTATCGTCCTTTGCCCTTAGTACAAGTGAATGAAAAAAACTTCATATCTTAAACTTTTATTTCATTATAATAGGGTTATTACAGCAACAGACATGCGGAAATTTACAACTTATGATATTCTAACATCTTAGAATAGCAACACTTTAGCTTGTTCCTACTCCTTGATTCCTGAGATACATACATGAATACATAAGCTTTAAGCTTAGTAAGTAGTCATGGTTTCATGATAAAACATTCTTTCCAAATAGTTAACATAATTCTTAGAAACTTTCATGCATAAAAACATTTCTTTGAGATCTCATGGTTACATGTTAAGTACACCAACTTCTCACAGGTTCTTTAACCTCGAGTCCATATAATGGCTGCCCAATAAGGTCCGTTTGTAAGACGTACCTTCTTTCTATAACCTGTACGTTGGATATTTAAATGGTTATTCTTAACATGTATAAAAACTTTCACCCTTATGTGTAAAACACATCATAAAATGCCATCATACATATATCTTGGCTATATAAATGTATCATCGTTTCGTGTAAAGCAAATATGCAAAATCATCTTATCAATTTCTTCATAGTGCATAAAATACATTTATATAGCATATATGTATCCCAGTAAATCTCATAACGTACTCACCTTGATTATGCCTAGCTTTTCCCTTAATTCCTATCTTCAAGCTTGATTAGGTATAAAGAGCAAGATTTATTATTTTTGGTATGGAATTAACGGCAACACTTCAATCACTATTTATAGGTAAATTCATTGCTTTAGCTACTTGTTCTTGCTCCCAAAATTGTACTCTTATGATAGTTTAACACCTCATTGCTTCTAGCTTTTAATTGTCATGCTTCTAGCTCTTGCTTGTCATCATCATTTTTGCCAACACATGCTTCTAGCCTTGACAACTCATAACTAGCTTCCTTTGTCGTAAAGAGTAGGTTTGCTTTGTAATAAGATTTTTGTGGCTCATGTTGTTTGTTTATAGGTAGCTTTGTAAGCTACTTGTAAGCTACTTGCGTTATAAATATGATAGTTTAATAAATGCTATAGCTGTTGAACTCTTTTAAGAGTACTTAATTTACTTACAAAATCTTGTATTGAAGGCTTAAACATTTAAATTTAGCAAATAAAGAAACTAGGGTATTACAAAAATGTCGTCAGTTCGCATTTGTATCGCTCTCGCTGCGATCAATCATTTGCACTTCATCAGTTGGATGTCAAGAACGCATTTCTTTATGGCATTCTTGAAGAGGATGTGTACATGTTTGTTATTTGTTATTGAGAAGAAGGTTACAAAAGTATGCCGATTGCGACGTTCATTGTATGGTCTTAAACAATCTCCTAGAGCATGGTTTGGATGATTTTCAGATGTTCTCCGGGAATTTGTTATTACCCGCAGTTCCCAGGATTATTATGTGTTTTTTAGACACCATGAAGATCAACGTATCATATTGATGGCCTATGTAGATGAGATCATCGTTACCGGAGATAATAGCACCGGAATTTCAGAAGTAAAAGAATTTCTACAGACTCAATTTCAAGTTATTGATCTTGGACGGCTTCGTTACTTCCTTGGGATAGAAGTGCTTCGATCTTCACAAGGGATTCTTATGTCTCAACGGAAATATGTTGTTGATATGCTTATTGGATGTGGTCTATTGGGATGTGGTCTATTGGGATGTAAACAAGTGGATAGTCCGATGCACGCTATAGGGAAGCTTCTTCCGGATGATGGAAGTCTTATGAAGGATCCAGAGAGATACAGGAGATTGGTTGGAAAATTGAACTATTTGACAGTTACTCAACCAAATATTTCACTGTCGGTTAGTGTCTTGAGCCAGTTCATGTCCGATCCTTATATGGATCATTGGGATGCAGCACTTCACGTTTTGTGGTATCTCGAGGCCACACCAGGCTTAGGGATACTCTATTCAGATCAGGGCCATTGTCGAGTGGGTGCTTTTACTAAAGGAGTTGGTAGAATATCTGGTTTCTCAGATGCAGATTGGGCTAGATGTCCCATTTCTAGGAGATCAACTACAGATTATTGTGTATTCGTAGGAGGAAATCTAGTTTCTTGGAAAAGCAAGGAACAGCATATTGTCTCCCGATCAAGTGCCAAATCAGAATACAGAGCCATGGCAGATGTGTCATGTGAAATGACCTGGGTAAGGAGACTCCTAAGAGAGCTTGGAGTAATAACAAAGGACTTGATGAGATTGTATAGTGATAACCAGTCAACCATTCACATAGCCAAGAACTAAGTATTCCATGAGAGGACCAAACACATTGAAGTTGATTGTCATCTCATTAGAGACCGTGTTGTGGGAACACGAACAGACCCTCCATCGATCCAACCGGTACACATCAAGACTGAACACCAGCTTGCAGACATTCTCACGAAGCCATCGCGGAAAACCTCAAATAGACTTTATTTGTAACAAGTTGGGCATGATTAACATTTTCGCTCCAACTTGAGGAGGAGTGTTAAATATAGCAAAGTTTGGTTTACCTTTCTATATAGTAGTGTTAGTATTTCCCCTTTTAAGTTTCTTGATCTTATATGTATCGTAATCTCTTTTAGAAAGAAATGACGCAACAATTGTTAGATTTGAGTAATAACACAATGCAAGATGTTAAGTGTTCTAGAGAACAGCACTCTGGAACTCCTATCATATTGAAAATGTGCAATGACTTTATTGTGGGAGCTCTCTCCATCCATCTAGGAAAAGATGAGTTGCTCAAGTCTTGCAAAGCTTCTACAGATGCCCACATTAATTTCATGGTGCCGAGTAGGACAATGATGGACATCTACGATCCAACTTGAGGAGCTCTAATCGTATTAGGGTTTGTATATTTACACAAGCCTACCTGCAACGCTCTATGTATCCCCTATTCCCCTTGATAATAATACTTTCATGAACCTAGAACATATAAAGCATTTGAACAATCTAGTATGTTAATAACTGAATAGCAAAAACATAGTATTATAGGAAGTAACCATGAAGCCCATTTGCATTGCAAAATTTATGTAGCACCACCAAAGAAAGTTGATGTTACTTGAAAAAGTTAAAACATGAACTATGTAAAAGGACAATGATCAAGTCTTTCTGAGGAGAAATGATAAGCAAGTGAAAAACATAAAAGAGAAATGCAAAGAAAGAGGAAACGGACGGATTAAAAAATGCTACGATATGAATATCTTACACTTCATATAGGCACATGATCCAAACATCTTACATTTTATATAAGTGCATGATATAAATATTGTATATGTAGGTTATCCTAAAGGCTTAAGTTGGATAGCATAAGTGCATCAACATCAAAATGAGACCAAAAGAAAGTTTGTGAACTTACCTCCGGTGTGTCTGCCCAATGTGAAATGCCTTTTAAAATGATCGGCATGTGAGAAGGATATAACCAGTCAAAMAAAAGTCCATAAGTTCTTCGGCTGAAATTAATCAGATACAATGTAATTTGTAATATAACAAAGCAATATAGATTCAACCATCTAGTGAAAGAACCCAACCTATTAGTGGCCATCGCAATTCCTCTCAAATCCCTCATCAATCCGATTAATGCATATTTTACTGTATCAGTACGAAACATAGCATCTGGGATTGACTCCAAACTGATAAAAACCTAAAACAACCAAAAATACTGTCAGAAAGGCGCAAAATTAAAATGATAATGAAAGCTATAATTACGACATTAGAAAAAAAAAAGGAAATTGCAAGGGCAGTGGACCTTTGCCCAGTGTTTACATGTGGTCTTCTGTGTTTTTGTTTTGTGTGTGAAAGAATGACTAAACAGACAAACGTTGAGAAAGGACTCATGTCCAACCACCATTCCAAAGAGGATCACACCAACTTAGATAGTTGTAGTCAAACATCCATTAGAGTATCTTAGTACAAATACAGATAATATTCATGTCAAACTCAAGCTTGTCTGTGTGTGTCTAGCGTTCCTACATAATAAGGATAAAAATTTACTTGGTCTTTGGAATTGGAAAAAAATATTAACACATAATTGAAAAGAGAAGAAAAATGCAAATGAATTTCAGCATATAAAAAACTGTTCTACTTTTGGGCAAAATATGAAATTTTTTATTCAACAGGATCTTAAAAGATTCATTTGCGGTATGATCGGATAAAGGTAAGATGCCTTCCTGGATAAAATGAAATTGCCAACCAAAACATCTTTATGAAACTTTCACAGAACATGAACATATTAAAATTGACCAACCACCACAAACAGGAACCTTGACTTGAAACTGAAAGAGGAGAGAAAAACTTCTGATTTAGAAACTGCCATCGATAAAAAAAATCCCATAACCTGCACAAGGAACTTGACAGGAGAAGATGATTGACTGCAATCCTAGAGCGGATTGTTTGAACTCGACTAATCAAGACAAAGGCCCCAACACTTGAAGACCCTGAAATGAACCATTGAAGATCCTGAAATAACAGACCCAGGAGCATCTTAACCTCTTCCAAAAAATGCTTGACCACTGAGAATTTGGCAAAGCATCACAAAATTGACAGTCACTTGCAGGTATGTTGACATAGTGAGAATCTTCTTAACCAAAGTCACCACTGCAACAGTTCTTCCTTAGGTATTCAATGGAACCCCAATGTACAAGGCAGGTTGATGTTGAGGGATAGCGAGGTTTGCTGTACAGGTACTTGTTTTAGCGATGGTGATGGCAGCTTGCCTGCTGGAAAGGTTGAAGGGAGCTGATGCTGGTGTCCATTGAGACCTATGAATGATCTCGATAATCTTAGGTTTGTGGTGGTGGATATATTCAGAGGCAGTGATGGAAAAGAAAGGGTTGAAGGCTTACCACAGGTGGAGGGGGCTAGATCTAGGTGGCAGAAGACTTGACTACGCTGTTTTAGAAAAACTGAAAAATCTTGCAAAATCAATGCCGAGTGCCGACAATTTGAAAAGATTCAGATGAGTTAGCTTTGAGAAACCGGATGACAAATGGAGCGGAAACGAGGTGAAGGCCAGCTGTTGTGAAGCTTGGTGAGGGTCACCTGGGTCCCAAGGAGGCGTGGCTAGAGAGCAAACCTTTGACTATGGTTCTGCATCGTGGCATATGGACTCGGCATGGATAATGAACGACTTGTGGAGTCTCATATAATGGAAGAGGTGAGTTCCATTGTTACCATGGCAATGAGACAGCCATGGAGTGGTGAGGCACAAGCAAAAAACAGGTCAGTCAACTATGATCAGCAGACACCCGAAGAGGGGACTAGGGATTGATCGTCAAAGCCTAGAGTTGACTACTTGACTGTATATAAAGGTTTAGATTTGAAGTGACAAATACTATTAAGGGGGAATCCTGTATACATAATGTACAGAAGGTATGCTTGTGGGTCAAGACATGGAACATGAAGATAGGTCACATACAATACCTATAGGAAACCTAATATTAGATACATTTCTATTAAAGATTTATACAGAAGTGCCAGAATATTGTTCCCTGATTTCACCACCACTTGCTGAAAATTTACACATCATTGTAAGTTTCTAATATGTGTGCTTAATTGCTTATAAATTTGACTTATCCAATATTTTTATTTGGAAATTCATAGAACATAAAATCTATGCTGTTAAAATCGTGATATATATCGGATATCGGACTTGGTGAAATATCGGTCAAAATATCGGTCCCGATAATATCGTCGATATTTACCGATATTTTGAAGCAAAAATCGGTCCGATATACCAATTTCTCTATAAGACAAATATTTGGGCTTTTCTATCATTCTATGTTGGGCTTAGTTTTTTGGGCTCTTTATTTGGTCCCCACGAAGCCAGCTCTCCCGAATACGACAGATGCGGAAGTGGGGAAGCCGGAAGGGGCACATATATTTCGTTGAGCGAGAGCCCTTCCACACGGGTTTGAGAAAGGAGCACCGGCCGAGCGCCCTGAATGAATAATAAATTAGGTCTCAACTCTCAGGATGCTTCAGTTCACAATTCACGCTCACAGTCTCCTTCATCTTCACCCTTATTCTCGGTCTCCTTCATCTTCACGCTCACGGTCTGGCTTCTTTTTTTTCTCGGTCTCTTTCTCTTCTCGGTCTCCTCTAGTCTACTTACCAAGTTGATACAGCCACAGCAGCAACCGACAGCGACTGTGTTGAATGTTGATACAACCACAGGCCTTTAACAGTTCCTCAACCAGCACCCAACAGCAATTGTTAATCTTGAGTGTTGATACTTGATACAGCACAGGTCCTTGTCCTCTCTTCGTCCTCAACACAGCCTCCTGGTGACTTCCTCAACTCACCCTCCAACAGTCTCCTGGTCCAGGTCTTATGTCCTAACTCCCAAGTCCTAACACCCACCCAGTCACTTAATTATTCTTATTTGACTTAGTTAGAACTTAATTACCATAATTTACTTATTTTTGTTGTTAAGGCTTAACTAAAGAAAGCAATGGAAAGTAGAGAAGGGGGTCAATCTTCAAGGGCATCTGTGACCCCGATTACTACTAATACTACTTCATCAGACACGGGTACAAAATGCATCAATGGCGATATGGCTTGGGAATGGAGGGTATGGAAAAATCCAATCAAAAATAATAATGTATGGTGTACTTTATGTGATAAAAACTGAGTGGGGGATCACTAGGTTGAAAGAACATCTTGCTCACACGGAAGTAACAAGATTAGTTGTCCTAATGTGAGTTACGACATCAAAAAAAGAGTTCTTGAATCAATTAGTGAAAAGAATAAGAAAAAGAAAGAAAGAAATAGAAATGTAGAAATCCTTGGATAATATTCGGTTGAAGTTGATGATATTGATGATATTGATGAAGATGAGCAAGAAGTAGATGGAATTGAAATTATCGAAGGAGGAAGAGCACAAGCCGGAATGCCACCTCGTGGTTTGAAAAGAAAGCCCGCTAGTGATGTTCGCGGGCCTCTTGATGCAATGTTGAAGGCCGATTATGCCAAGATAAAACAAGCCACTTTAGATAGAAAAAATCCAATCAAAGATAAGTTAAAGATGGCCGCTTGGAAAGAGTTTGCGGTTTGGGCATATTCGGTTGGTTTGCCGCTCAAAGTCGTGCATGATGAGAACTTTCAAAAGTTCATAAATGCGGTTGGAGAGTATGGAAGAGGTAATTACCACTTCAAATTTTGAATATATTTCTCAAAGGTTAATTACTAAGTACTAACTTTATACCTATCGTTGGAAGGCATTCCGGCTCCAAGTTATCATAATATTCGTGTCACACTGTTGAAAGATGTACTCGAGGACACTAACAAGTTTGTGGATTCCTTCCGTTCACATTGGAAGAAAAGTAAATGCACTATAATGTCCGATTTTGGACAGAGGGGAAAGAGAGAAGCTTGATTAATTTTTTGGTCAATTGTCCACAAGAAACAATATTTTTGAAATTAACTGATGCATCGGAGCATGTGAAAGATGCTCAATTAATTGTACAGATGATCAATGAGAGGAGAGCATCGTGCAGGTAACAAATACTCTATCTATATTAAGTATTAACATTATTCTACATATATATATATATATATATATATATATTAAAGTAGTGACTAATTGTTTTTTACTTATACTAGTTTGTCACCGATAATGGGTCCAACTTTAAAGTTGCGGGAAAAATCTTGGAAGAACAACATCCTCAGAAGTTTTGGACACCATGAGCTGCATTTTGTGAATCTTATGATAGGAGATGTCGGAGAGAAAATTCCAAAGATTAAAGTGTGCTAGTTGATGCGAGAGTGGTAGTGGTTTATATCTATAACCACGGAAGAATTTTGAATATGATATGAAAGCTTACTAAAAATAGGGAACTGCATAGGTCATGTGTTACAAGGTTCGCAACACAATTCTACACCATTCAAAGCATTCATGAGAACCGGCATCATCTCCAAGTGCTATTTGTTTCTGAACAATGGAGGAAGAGTGACTTTGCCAAGAAATCCGTCGGAAAAAGAATTGAACGAATAATAGCTAAGCAAGAGTTTTGGGACAATATTTATCTTGCTTGTCAGGTATTGGCACCGTTGGTTGATGTTCTTCGGTTGGTTGATACCGAGAAGAAGCCGTGTATGGGTTATATATACGATGCTATGGGAAGAGCTAAAGATCAAACCAAGAAGAACTTGACTGGCACCGTTCAAGAAAAATTGATCACTAAAATGTGGTCAATGATTCAAGCACGATGGAGTGACCAACTTCATCATCCTTTGCATGTCGGTATAATTTATAAAACATTGCTATGTTTTATTTATTTAATTTTTAAAGTTAATACAATTATTGGTATTAACTTTTAGTACATTTGTAGCCGGATATTACCTCAACCCCGCCATTTATTATGCACAAGATTCAGAAGTTGAGAATAATAGATACATTAAGACGGGACTATATGAGGCAATTGACCGACTTGTGCGTGATGAAGAAAGAAATGATACTTTACGGATGGAACTCAATCAATATGTCAAGACATTAGGGCAATTTGAATCTGCGGCTGCCATAAGGAATAGAGCTAAAGTAGCACCACATAAGTATGATAATAGGATATAATATATATATATATATTTACATATTCAAAAGTTTATTTGTGTTTTTTATTAACTTAATATACCTATAAAATATAGATGTATGGTGGCGTTCTTATGGCATTGACACACCCATGCTCCAACAATTTGCGATTAGTGTTCTAAGTCAAACCTGTAGCACTTCTCCTTGTGAGAGTAATTGGAGTGCATTTGATCATGTAAGTTTTCTTTGTTATGGACAATATATCAACTCAAATGAAACTTAAATTCAAGTTATGGTTTTAAATTTATCAATTATCAATTCAGTTGCACTCTAATAAGAGAAATTGCCTTTTGCAAAAGAAATTGAATAATCTTGTCTTCATTCAATATAACAAAATATTGGAGAGGCGCTACAAATCTCTTAAGGATAACAAGTCTTCAAATCCTATTTTCTTGAGAGATGTCGAACAAAATGATGATTGGGTGGTTCCAACCGATGTTGAGCTCCAAGAGTTTGTGGATGCAAGAGATGGCCTCCTCTGGTATGTACAAGAAGCAATGGGAGGTAATGAACAAGTTGGGCCAAGTACAAGAAGTAAAAGGGAACGCTATAGAGATGATGATCATGATCATGATGATCATGTTGGAGATGAAGGGGAAGATTGGGAAGCTAACCTAAAGGAAGAAGTGAACATATTAGATGATGTTGACTCGGATGCCGAACCAACTGCTTGCGATTATCTTGTTTTTTAACATTTCTCCTATTTTGTTTTGTGAGACTTGTTTATCAGTTTATGTGATGTTTTAATTTTGAAACTATATTTCTAAACTCTAATTAATGCATATGATTTGTTTATGGATGCATACATATAATTTATATATATATATATATATATGTAATTCTAAGAAATATTATATTAACCGCTATTTTGGACCGGATCCTGACCGATATTTTGTATTTTGACCGCAGTAACAGCATAGTATAAAATGTTTGTACTCATTCGACAAACACAAGGCATCAACTCACAGCGACTAGTAAGCATATAGAGAGAGATCCAATAGTAACGACAGACCTGAAATCCAAGCTAAGTGCCAGAATATTGTTCCCTGATTTCACCACTTGTCGAAATTTTTCACAATATTGTAATGTTTGTGCGAATAAATTTGACTTCCTAATATTTTTATTGAATATTAATAGAAACGTACAATGTCTGTTACTCATTTAACAAACACAATGCATCAACTCACGGTAACCAGTAAACATATAGAGACAATCTAACAGTGACAACAGAGCTTTCATCCAAACTCGTACAATACTTTAAAAATGAAGCTTGTTAGGAAAGAGGTGAAGTCCACCTACAGAAAAGTTGACAATAGATGCATACCTGTAATAGTGGATCCATAGAAGATTTGAATTTAACAGGGCTGTCCTCCATGAAAATTAACCAGCCAATAGTGTAATAAAATGTCGTTCTACTGCGAGAGCATCTATACTCGTGAAGGAAAGGGAAGTGTTCCCTCTACAAAATAAAGATGGATAATTATAAATGTTAGGCTTGATAGAAATAGCACTATGGATTTACGGATATGAAATGTAGTGTTCCAAAAGCATTAAGAGGAACTAGGCCATCAGGTGACTTTCTAATGCATAAGGCATAAATGCCTAAAAAGCAATTTAGCAAATGCATGAACAGACTCGTAAGCACTCCTTTTTAATATATATATATATATATATATATATGTATATATGTGGGGGGGGGTGTGGGTGTGTGTGTGTATAACAACTGTGCTTAAACAACAGACATGAGAATCTAAATGTTATTATGTCATTTGATACAATTACTTTTCTAAATGACTAATGTAATTATTCCATTGACAAACTTACTGGGAAATGATTTGAAAGATGACTTCAATGTTTAAAAAAATTGACTGATAAGCACAAGTTGAGAAAAAATGACAACACTTAGGTCAAGAGTTAGTTGCTAGTTGAAGAGTTGGGAGAAGCTTAACAGCAAGGAAGCCTACTAAGGGTCCTCCCTAACTAATTGAAGATGTGGGAGGATTCTTAATGGTTTGGCAGATGCTTAAGCAGACCTAAGAAAAAAAGGGAAGAACTTAGAACACAGAAATTACAGATAGAAAATTACTGTATGATTAGCAACTATGAATTTGACAGTGTCCAACTTCATAAGTAGCTTTCCTGTCATATATCTGCAAGAAAACATATCTCAGAAGTAAGATCATTTCCTACACAAAACACACGCACACACTCCATTAAGATAATCATACAAGAATGGATAAAAATCGAACTAACCCAGATGCAAGTTCCAAAAACAGGCTCAAGGTGTGACCAATAACTTCCTCACTCTGTAAGTAAAGGATAAATGAGAAACAGAACAAAATTTTCCAAGAGATGCAACCAACAAGGTTGATTAAGTACCTCTGTATAACACTTCAGGTTCGTTGCAATTTTTCCGACAATCACATTTAACGCCTGAAGATGGTTATTAAGTCCAAGCAGGTCAGATAGTCGGGCATAAAGCTGCTGCAAAAGAAATCGAAAGTTTTTGAGTTTTGAAAAACAGCCTAGAATACGCAGAAAGTAATTATCCTCCCACCATCAGAAGGATGCTTTTCATTACCTTAGAAGAATGCATGGCTTGGTCGCCTACATAAGATTTTCTGAAGTGTTGAAAAAATGTTAAAATTGCTTGGTCAAGTCTCTGTTTGCTTAGTTCACCGTACCTCTGCCATGAGATATAGATTAAGCCATCATCTTGTAATTAAGAAATTCTTTAACCTATTACTTATGAACAATACATTAGTGAAACTTCATTTCTCTAGAGCATCATGAATCTAGTGCCTACAAATTACTTCCAATAAGTGGGCCAATCTCATTTGGAAAAAATAAAAATCTGATTGGATGTGTAGAATTACAAAATTATTTGACAAAAAGAAAGTAAAAAGGTCAATAATCTATCCTTACCTGACTATGTAATCCACTATCTGTGGCATTTATGATTCGCAAAACACGAGCTGATAGTTCTGCATCAATAGCTTCTTGGGAATCCGTGCTGCATTGAGAAAAATTTATAAGCAAATTACACATGATCACAAAAACAATAAAGTTTTCCAACCATGTAAATAGAACATTTAATTCAGAACTTAATTTGGATACCTGCAACCACTACACTGTTTAATCTTTAATATAGCAGCAACTATATGAACTATCCAAGCTAATTTGGCTTCAATGACGGATAATTCACTTTTATCACTAATCTGATGTTGTGCTCTTTCCTATTAAAGATGCATACAGAAAACAAAAAGTAAATGTCATATCAGAAATACCAATAAAGATTATATCAACAAGCTGCCACGTATTTGGAAGAATGATATTTGAACTGCAGCATACCGTATACAGTTGTAGGACGGGCTCCACAATGTTTATAATAAATAAACTACTTCTTTCATACTGAAATTCAGAAGAGAGATTATTAAGTAGTCAGCATTTCACTTGTTATCTCATTTTAACTAACTAGTATTATACATTAGATTAATACAGGTAACTCCACCAACTACGTGCAGGTTGATACCTGAAATCTGCAAAGATAAGGAAAGCAATCAAGCTGATCTTGTAGAAGCTCTACATTGTCAAGAGGATTCTCAGAAAGGTCGTCTTGGGAAGTTGCCTACATTTCAAATCCAAACCGGTGAAACTTACGCCAATCAAAGAGAATATATGAGTTCACTTCACATAACGTTAGAATATAAACTTTATGAACTATGTGCCACATGCCTGTACGGAATCAAATCTTGAAGTAATAAAACCTTCACTAATCTTGGGCACAAACTCGTCAAGCAAGCTAGGTGCATCAGCCTTTAAGTAGGGCACAGACGTTACCAACCTCGACCACAGCCCCAAAAGATAGTATACACTGCTACTAGCCCACTGCAAGAGGCATGAAGTAAATAACAGTTCATGGGGGAGAAAGAGTTTGATGAAATAAATGTGGGTTGTAATAGATCCAAAAACATATACACCTTTAGTTCCAGAAATAAACACAACAATTACCGATTAAGAATGGCATGAAATAGTTATGGCACGCTGCTTTTGTACTTCCTTCCAAACACATATACCCCGTTGCCCTCATGCTAACTTTAATCCAATTTAGTCACTAAGTGTGATGTATTTGTGGTTCGCTAGTCATTTTGATCTCTTCTTTCAAGTGTATTTTGAATTTTTTTCAAAGAAATTAGGTTTCCCCTATTTCAATGTCTATTTCAAACATAAAGGCGCTATGGAAAGACCGTTAACTATAATCTAATACTAATATGCATGGAGGAGTATATTGTTGCATTTAGTGAAGAACATAGTCATATTTGTTTGTCGGGAAATAGTTCGAAGAACTTAGTTATATCATACTGTCTGAAGCTCTAAATACCAGCCAACCTGCCATGACTGCAACGATTTTAAAGTAAACTCTGCCACCAAACGTATCCAATCACTGTAGCCTTCCACGTTCACAAGCTCTGATAGCTGCACATCACCACATATCAAATTGTCAAGAGACTAAGTTCATGTATTGAAGGATATCAACAACTGGAATAGAATATATAGTTTATCCCAAAAACTACCCAAGTATCTAGTATGGTATTACCAAATGCAGATGTGAGTTTTCAAGTGCAAAATCTTTTTTCCTAAAAAAGATGGTTGGCATGAGTGAATGGAATCACCATAAACATAAATAGTAAGAATAGCATCATAATGTACAATTAGATTACTATGAAGAAAAGAAACATAAATTTCAAAAAACACGTTGCCACAGGATTCATATAAGTAACTGGTCTGCTGCTACTTAAGGTTATGGACAAGTTTTTACCCCTTTTTTTTTTTTGAAAAGCAAGGTTATGGACAAGTAATTTTGGTGAGGTTTCATAAAGCATTACTATGGAAATAATAGAATCATGTTGACTGTTACAAACAAACAATAACAAATTAATTTCCTGTTCCACTCAAAGAGCGAGCATTTAACATGCAACTAAAACGGTGCATTGGAAATGCGAAGAAGCTTCTGTCCCAACTTTTTATAACATCCTTCCACGCTCTCTTCTATAAGTCCAGTATCTTTCACATATTCCACTCATTCAAATCTTTCACTACTTTCCCATGTCATTCTAGGCCTACCCCTACCTCTCCTGTCATCCATGATCCATAGGTCAACAGAACCATCACAAGCAAACTTTCCTCAGCTTCTCCTCGTCCAATGACACCCTACCATATCCAAATATCATCATTTCTGTTGTTATGAGAGCCCAATTACTGTATACTTCCAAAGGTTATCTTTACATGTGTCTTTTTTGTCTGGTTTATCATTTCCCACTTATAGCTCTCCTCCTACCTATCTAGAGAGATTTCTCCTGGAGTAATGATACAGCTTTTAACCTATTTAACTACATTTAAGCAAAGGACTGTTATGATGGAATCAATTTGCATGACTTCTGGCCTTGCACCAATGGCACCCTACAACTAGGGATCGGAACGAGGCAGAGTTCACCGTCCCCGTCCCCGTCCCCTACCCCTGATTCTCCTACCCTGTACCATCCCCACTGGGGATAGGAAACTGAATCCCCTCCCCTTTGGATTATGAGCTCATCCGCCGCACATCCCCCAGAAAAAATGTTTAACCAAGTATATTATCAGAGACTTTGTTAAACACCATTTTTACAAACTTTGGTATATGAAAAATTCAAATAAATTAATAAGCAATTGTGTACAATATTCTAATTCATAAATTCTGGTGAGCAACTAACATGTTGAATTAAGTATATACATAGTTGAGTAAGTTTCAAATCAGTATTCTATTCCGTGAATTGCAGATCTTCTGTCCAAAATGATGAAGTAATTGTAGACGCTAATTTTATCTCAAACAGATTTAAACAGTTTATGGAGTTATATGATCAAAGTGCAGCTGGTGCAGTCATAATTTAAATCTAGGTTTACTCAATATAATAAATCAAGCATGGATTCTCGCTTTGCTGCCACATTCGTGCTCCAAGATCAAGAGAATGAGTTTTGCTTGTTACTCAAAATCTGAATAAAGAATACAAGAATGATGATAGATCAATGGACAGAGTGGTGCATAATCGATGAATTATGCATAGTGGACACAGTGGAATGAGAACCATGAAAAATAATAAAGATTAATCAAGAAAGTATTATAATATAGTATATATATTCGGGTAGGGTGGGCACCAGGAATATCGTCCCTGTCCCCATCTCCGGCAGGTAGAGACGATGTATCCCCGGCCGCAAGACCCGCTCATGCAGGGAATCCCCATCCCCAATCAGGGGGGATGAACCGGATACCCGCCGTGGAAAGGTCAAACTACCATCCCTACCCACAACCATATTGTTCTCTTCAACAAATACAGAATCAAATGCAGCAAACAAGTGAAGTTGCTCTCTGATGAACCCCTAACATACAGAAGTAGCCTAAAGGCTCTAACCTACTACACATCTCAAAGGCTACTTATATAGTAACAATTTGAACCAATCGTTTGATGTATGCTAAGATCATGCATTCAGTCAATAATGATTTGCAACAAGAACATTTATTGCATCTCCCCTTCTTGAGTGACATTGTTGATTCAAATACTTCAAAAGAATAAATGTAAAGCCATTAATCAAATAAATAATCATTTTGTATTTGAAGCACAAGACATGCATGTTTGCCTTGTAGGATCAATACGTATACATATGTAAAGACTCCACAAAATAACTAGTATATTAGAACTGGATAAGAAATTTTAAAATGCAAAACAATTACACAAAATACCTGATAGTTTACTCTAAATCGTCCGAGAAGACGACAATACTCATGGTAATTATCATGATCAGCAAGACCTGGTTCAGGATTCATAAACAATATTTTAGATTATGTTAGTCTATAAAATCCAAAAGATCAAAAGCAGACAGCACATGAATCATACTATGTTGACTGTAGTTATAGTCTAACCTATCTAATAGCCAAGCAAACATCATATTTTAGTAACCAACATCACCAACACTTGAACATTTGGCTATTCACTTGAGTGTTTCTTGATTCTAGAAATCCCAGAGTGAATGATACAGAATTTTGATTCATGAAGATCATGCAGCATGTGATGACCTAGAATATAAACAAAAACTTCAAACAGACATTTACTGAAACTCTATGACTAGTTGCCTAAGCCTTTACCTCTGAACTCGCCATTTTTTCTTCTCCAAGGTGAACACTTCAACCACCAGTCGCTAAAAGCCTAAAACGAAAGTTTATACAACTACCTACTAACAAAGGGTCCACTGTGACAATAGCACCAGATATTATGACAAGATTATCAGAAACATTTGGTGGTATGTGCTGTATAGACAGAGCCAAATGAAAAAAAAAAGAACTATGCATAATGCAACAACCGGGAAACTTAAGTAAGAAGGGTCAAGTGCAAAGACAAAGAAGGAAAGATTGTTGTCACCAAGGCTGCTTTTTACCAAAAGGGTCATTGGCCCAACGGTACCCAGGTACCAAAAAAGTCATTGGCGTGAGTATTTCCCATATATAAATTATTATATACTTCAAAAAAGGTTTGTTGGCTTGCAAAGGTTGGAGATGTAAGGCTTCATTCGAAGTCTTCCCTTGCATTTTTCACTGAGGCCAGGGGGAAGGGGGATGTGGTGGAATATCCCGTCTGCTCAGGGTTCAATTCCAGGTGTCCACAACAATTGTGGCCACTGTGTTTATCAGAGTTCATGTCTTACAGTCGCAATTTGCAGGGATTAGTTTGGGCATAGCCCGGGACACCCTTCCAAAAAAAGAGCAATGAGAATCATGGAAGAGCAGGATTTTATTTTAAGCAAATACTTGAACAACAAGGATCTTTTCATATCCCACCACTGATGTACCCTAAGAAGAAAACAAATACAAAACTTGAAACTTCTACTCAGAGAATATAGGACAACAGGTGCACAAGTCAGATTTAACCATTACCAGAACTATGAAGAAAACAAACTAAGTATATATACAGTAGGGATGAGGGAGTTCGTTTAACCAAAACTGATAAAGGACAGGTTCACAGGAGAAACTTCAAAAGATAACCCTAAAGTTATGTACATGAAGTCCCAAGAGTCCAGGAAACAAACGTCTACTTAAAGATGTTCAACTTGCCCAAATATCCTCACAGAAAAAGGAAAATCACCACAAAGCTAAAATAATAGCATCCCACGTTGAAATGCAGCAGCAAAGAATTGTTTGTAAAAAGACATGTACCTAGAGACGGAAGTAAAAAAGAACCAAGACTGTGATCCCAAAGCAAAGTGAGGTCCCGATTACACTACAGCGTCTAAACCCTTAAAACATCAACCAAGCATGTAAGCACCAAATAAACTTCAGAATTTTTAACTAAGATTATGATTTTTGCCAGGAAAGTGTGCCAATGTTTTGTCCCAACTGCCAAAATAAAACCTTAACAAGTCCCTTGGATCTAATTCAATAAATCCATTCCCAAATCCCAAAGTCATATTTGGGTTGCTGACTTGTCACATGCGGTACTCATGACCATATAAAGGCTTGCCAATGTGTATGTGACTAGTTCAACACATGCATCAAACGGTGGTCCAACAGGACAGGATCACATTGCATGATGTCATGTGGCTAGATATGGTTTGTTGCGGCTAACAAGCTCAAGCTAGCCTCTGTTAAGATATACAAAGTCCACAGCCCATATGTAGTTGGTCAAGGGTGAGATGGAACTTGGAATGCTTAAGTCTTTAAGATAATCGCTGGACTTCAGCCTAGATCCTTTTAGAGACCCGTACATGCACTCTTGTAGTGGGATATCACCAGCCTCAACAGTAAAGTTCGTTGTAACAATTTTTGATTTTCTTGTCTTGTAAGAAAGTTCACACTTATTATCTAGTGCCCCAAAGTAATGTGTAGCTTATGTTATTTTTACCCACAATCTTCAGTTCTTCATAAAAGCATTATGGTTTCCAATTACAGGTATTGTGAAGTCACCTGTCCAAATAAATTCTAAGATACACGTATCAACCCAAAGGCTTTCCTAGTCAAAACCAACTCACCTTCACTTAGCACTACAATCAACTAAGCTAACATCTTTTGGCCTTTCAAACTGCTAAAAAACCTAGTTGACCAGGCATGTCCTTGAACTTTTAAGTTTTCAAATCGTATAGTACTAGAAACACATGACTGCAAATTTTCTGCTTACTCCACTAGTGCATGCACCATAAATTCAAGGAAATCCCGACTGCACCAGGAATTGTGAGGATTCATACAAAAATCAAAGATTGTTAACTCCTAAATCCCTTTGGACTTAACGCAATCACCACCCAAACAAAAGCAGTGTGATACAACACCAAATATGATTGCTCCTAAATTACATCAGAACCTAATAATAGCAATAGGTATGTGACAAATACAAGGGATCTCTCTCACCACAGATGATTAAAAGCAAGCAGTTCCTTGTCTAATAAGTGAAATCAGTGAACTTCAAGAGCTTAATACTGCACGGGAACCATGTACCTTGCCCTGCTTGTAAAATCTCTTTGGATCCCGTCATTAAATGAGCCAGGAACTTCGAACGTGCAGCATCATTTGAGAACAAAGAGCGCCTTACTGAAGCCAGTCGCACTAAGCATTCCAGAGCCTACAATACAAAATATGTGTAAACACAATTTCAATATAGAACTGATGAGCCGTGGGTATAGCCATTCCAAGAGAAGAAGTCCCTTCAAAACCGATAACAAAGATATATATGACAGACTATTAACGTAAAGATCACACTGACGGAGATGAATATGTTTTCAAGTGCACTGCATCACTTAATTCTCCGCTTAGATAACATGGGAAAGATTAAGGATTTTACGAGTCTTCTTTAAGCATCGAAGTAATTGACAGAGGATGCCAACACGCATGGCAAAAGCTTTTATGGTTGATGCAACTTTATTTTGCCATATCATTCTAATTCTAACAACTGTATATGAGATTATTTCTAAGAACAGGATGAGAGCTGGACCATGTTCCGAACACTGACTGCATTGTTGGGTATGTGAATTTAGAGTACCAAATGCAACTAGGCTAGAACCATCAAAAGGCATATCCAGGTGAACTACCTTCAGTGCTCACTGCATATGAGTTACTGTTTAACATGTACATCAGGAAACTATTAGGTGGACAAAATTATTAGATATTTTCCTGTTCAAATGCAAGACCGTGTATTGGTGATGAAATTTTGAAAAAACATGAATCTCTTAGGTGTCATATCACATTGGCAAATAGATGGAACCAGAACTGGGAGAAGTACAACAAAAACAAACATGAAAACAAACACAAAATAAAGACCCAAGATACAAAATAGAAATATGGTGGAACTTGGATGGATTGACGCAAACAATGTTTTCTCGTAGTACTATAACTATCAATATAAGTTCTGGAACTTTTTACTAGTTTTCCAGCACAACTATGTTGTGAAATATGGAATTTGTGATGTATAATTAAACATTGATTCTCATGATGTTTTAATTCGGTTGTACAATTAAAGTCATCCCAACAATTTGGTTAAAATTTATGAAGTAAAAGCAGTATAAGCAGGTGCAGTTCTATATGATCTGAAACTACAGAAGTCATGTATGCTCCCATTGAACTGCAGGGTAACTTTCATAAAAGGTGGTGGGTGCTTCTATGATTAATGGGACCAAAAGGCAATATGCATAGAAAGAAAGCGCAAAATAAATGTATATAGTATTATAGTGTGGTGGATGTGTTGCCACATGAAGATGCATAGGATTTGACTGGATATTTTGGAGAAGGTTTAGCAGAACTAATTGACACAAGTTGGCTTGCTTGTCTGCAACATACACCTTGGGATACAATGGTTAAAATAAAATGCTAGCACCAAAATGAGAACATCAGAAAGTGAGGGTAGGCCAAGATGGGAAGTAAGAAGACGAATTTGAATGAGAACATAAAAAGTTGTTGAACTAAGAATATTATTCTTGTCCTAAAGCCTTAGAAATAGTTCACTACTTCATAATTCCTAAGAGGTTTCATTTTGAGCTTTTACCCTAAGTCCCAAATTAATATGGGATAAATAGTTTGTTAGCTTCTTGTTGAAAACGATTAAATTATTAGCTCCGAGCACCATATATGTCCATTTGCTCCAATTGAAAAGAAATCATGCAAATAAAGATAACCCCAAGCTGCTACAGTATTGCAAAAATCTACTAACATGGGTCCATCACTAAAAAGAAAAATGTAGAATATGACTTTTTAAACTTATTATTGACAAGAAGAATTACTAAGGAAAGCATCACGGCATATGCGGCCGTTGAACTCGCAACTTCTGGCTCAGTACAACTGACTCGTAGGTTGTGCACAGGATCGTTTATATTTTTAGTTCATTTCTATCTTGATAGTTGTATCTGGATATAAAAACTCAGTAGCCCCTCACTCTTACACAGGCTTAATGCATCATCATATTACTTGTAATGGACTAGTGTGTACGTTTTTGAGACTTTCACATTCTCATTTTCCATTGTAGATATAGTGCCCACAATTCAAGAATGATTCCTTTCATGAAATTGCCCTAGAATCATATCATTAGAAGCGGGATACTTATCATCCAGATGTGTATGTTAGTTGTAGCGCACCTTCCCTCTTTATAAAACTTCCAAAAGATTTTGCAGTCTTTTCTTATATAAACTCAACAATCGCTAAACAGAAGGACAGAAGTTAACAGTGCTAGCTTACATCAGCACCGGCCTTCAGATTCCCTGGATCAACAGAAATATCAAGTGTTTAGAATTCCTAAGGAAATACCTGTTATGTGTATGTTACTCTGTGTTCCCAACAAAGATTCTGGCTCACTTTGAATTCAGTTCTTACAATGTTTACGAATTGCAGTAAGAATGTGTGCATGATTCAGGCGATCGAATAGCAAATGGAGGTGAAAAAGATTAACAAGCAAGCATGCAGAAACTCACTTTATACCGTTGACTTTAGCCAATTCCAGTTGCAGAATTTCCCGTTTTACTTCTCCATTTTGACACTTTTGTAACAAATTCAAATTTTGCCACATTTCATTTCCCGTTATTATATTTATTTTTAAATGAAAATAAGTTCAATTCTGTCTCCATTACCACGGCCAAAATACGTTCTTTTTTGTTACTTAGTTTAAAAAACATGGTCTAAGTCAGAAATAACACTTATAAACAAATATACTTCAGGAAGAAAAGAAAAAACAACGGTTAGAAATTTGAATAAACAGACAGACCCCACTGAGGAGTGGTGAATATATTCAATAAGGGAGAGAGAGAGAGAGAGAATACTTACCTCTTTTGACAAAGGAGGCTTTGTGATTGCATAGTAATCAAAAAATATTTGTAGTGTGGAAGGATCTTCTAAAACCGGCTTCCATGAAGATGGAATCTGCAAATTCACCAGAAAGTTCTGTTTGTTGAAAATATAATGGGAAAGCAACAAGTTAAAGGACCTTCCACGTTATTTTAATACATTTGCCTTGTGCATTGAACTATTTTGCTTCACATGTGAATCAAGTGTAAAATTAATACCTGAACAGTACCAAACTCATCTGAGCTTTCATCAATTGATGTGCCAACAAAATCAAATGACAGACATTTCAATGCAAGAGAAAGTGCCAACTCTGGCAAGCGGCTCCCAACTGCATACAAATAATCATTTTTTTCCAGAATGACAATTGAATACAAAGGTCAAACTTCTAACAGAAAAGAAGTGAGAAACCAGTATCACATTACCTTCGCTTTTCAGCTGTTGCAGGGAGGTAAGAGATATTTGGAAAATTTGAAAAAGACATTGATCCCTAAAGGAGCAGGCAACTCTTCGATGATGTGTAGAAGGCAATCCCGGATTTGGCTGTAAATTCAGGGGGGAATAGATAGAAATGAAAGAGTATTAGACAGATAATTACAGACACAAAAAGTCCAACATGCTTGCTTCCACCAAAGTGGGAGCCATGATGATGGGATTAGAAACATAGTGACAAATGAGTACTAATTATCCATAGCAGCTAAAGAATACAATCGTTAGCTTTGCAAAATATGTTACAATATAACCAGACATGACATTTTGATGATAGGAATTAGTTTAAACATGAAAAGGGCCATCGGACACAATTTACAAACCAAACATGCATAAGTGCATGCACATGCTAACATGTTGCACATAAAGGAAAAAAAGACATTGCAAGTCTAGAATCATGAGCCACCTTGGACGCTCAAAATTTGTATGTATCAGGACATAACCAATCTGAATGTGAGGATCAGCTTACAAGGACAAATACTTGTCTAATACGATATCTCATTTAATGAAACAATATAGATGCTGGCAAGAACACTCAGGTGGGCACATGCTGAATTAATCCAATCGTATTTTAGATCCTAAACACGGAAAATCGTGAAAGAAAGGCATGTATTAATGAACATACATATTTTATCACCTAATTATGCAGTTGTGTCACGAAGTTAATGAAGCGCAGGAATATAACCAACCTGATTCATCTCACTAACAAGCTGATTTAGTATCTTTAAACCAATAGAGCAATGATCGGGCGATGCCTGATAACAACAGAAACCATGTAAGTAAAGTCTGCAATCATGGGATTCTAATGCATCAACGAAAGATTAAACTTGCCATAGAAAACGAAAAGTAAAGGTTTGGGGCTTTGTGCCCAAGGGACTGTGAAGAACATGAGGGGAGAGATGTTATGGCAGGCAGGTACAATAGTACCTGGATCAAAAAATTTGTGGAGTCTTTGACTGCATCTCTGAACCTATCATCGTCAAACCAACCAAATTTGGTCACCCGGCAGAGGAGCTGGATTAAAGATCCGATTACATATGGCTGCAGTTCATGTCCCCTTTTCGCCAAATAGGTAAAAATGTAGTTTCCTTCATCAGATGTCCACAGGCATAAATTCATGACGTGTTAGGAAAGAAAGAAGCTCTTTTTGTCAAGTAACAACCTCAGAACAAGAAATTAAGGTAGTAATAGGAGAAATACGGCAATCAGATAATACCATAAAATTTAAAAAAAATTGAACATGCATAAAGACACCCCACCTTGGTTGGTGAAGCACAGTAAGAAAAAAATTTGAATGCAAGAGATCATCATATTAACCAGCTATTAAGAGGTGGCAGGTATATGTTGATCTAGTAACTACAAAACAAATTTAACAACCTACGAAAATAAAGTTAGTAGAAGAATTACGTATATCAAGACGGAGCTGCAAGGATAGTGTATGCTCAGTCACTTGCTTCAGCAGACTCGAACTAGCCAGCATCAATGCATAAGGAGTTGAAGCATTGTCCAATATGTACTGACACTGTGAAATGTAATCAGTATTTGCAGAAAAGCATTTTAGAGTGTTCTCAGCATGAGCACGTTCAACTGAGTCTTGTGAATTGTAGAGTCTCTCGCACAAAGCTTCTAGTTGCGCTAAGCTCTCCATTCTTGATTAGAATTGAAGTTCGAATTTCAGGTGTCAAGAACCAGCAATTATCCAATTTAAGTCTACAAAATATATGATAAGAAGAGGTCATGTATCCTGAAAGAAAACGATACAAATGTATATGACTCAATTAAATCATAGATAGACCGCTCACTTATTAATGCAATGACATGTATCCATAATTGAAAGAACAAGATTGGTTTGTATAAGCAAGAACTACAGCATATGATTTTGAACCAGATATTATAACATATAGAGATATTACATTGTTCATCATACAAGAAAGTATCTCTCATCGTCAAACTAGTTCCTATTACATATGAGAGGTCAAAAAGAAAAAGAAAAAAAGTACATATATAAAGGCTATGGAAAGAACTCTATGATAGAGAACCATGAGACGATCACCACCAATCCTTGCTATATATAATACGGCAACAATCCTGTAAAAGAAAATGACCAACAAGAAAATTAACTGCCATCAGCTAAATTGTTATGGTTCAAAGAAACTAAAGGAACATAAAAGCCTTTTCTCTTTGCTTATTCTACATCTGTTCTCCGATCTCCATTTTGCAGTCTCATGCACATTAATTCTCACTATCTTCCAAATGGACTCAAGGAAAACGCAAATGAGAAATAGAATGTGTGATGGGACAACTGCATACTCGGAATCAATACCAAACCGACTGCTTGAAGTCAATTTTGAGATTCCAACAGGTAAAGTAAGATATAGAGATCACGGAACTACAAAATCCTTTAATCCGAATCCACCACACCTAGTACAGTTTACCAACACCGGTAGGACCCTAAATTATCATGAAACTAAGATAAAAAAGAACTAGAATGGAAGTAATCATTAAAACATGTCATTTTGATCCCCTTATTCTTCTTCACATTACGTCTCCTGATGAATGAAAATTTCTGGTACGCAGAGTGTGAGATTTAACATCAATAAACTGAAAAAGTTACAGGATGCAGTTGGATACAAGAAAAAAAGACAATCAGTTGAAGAAAAATCAGCTTTCACAGTGATCAAACACCTTTGGAAGTTGTGGAATCAAGTTTCAGCGGCTGAAACAGATAACCCTGAGATCCAAAGCTGAGTTGATGAAAGTAGAAATGGATGGATTAAATCGGTAATATGCATATAAAGAAATAGAGGGGGGAGGGGAGGGGGAGTGGGTTACGAGTAAGCGCAGAGAGAGAGAGGGAGAGTTGGCTTGGTAGATACTCCAAAATTGAGAGCCGAAGCCCAACAAAAGCCCTAGGTTTTCTCCCCAGTTCAGCTTTGACCTTGGTCTCTGTTTTCATGGATTACCGTAGAAAACGGAATATGCAAGTCACAACGTTGACAGGGCTTGGACCGGCCCACACCCATGTGCTCATATCGACTCCAACAACTCATTCCTGTAACCGTGCGTTCGGTACTAGGGCCGTGGACCGATTCGATGCGAAGTTTGTTTATTCAATAAATGAATAAATATAAACACTTTTTTTATCCGTTTAGTTAAACAAACAAACATTAATAATCGTTTTATTCGTTCGTAAACAATCGTTCATTTACATGCGTTATCGTTCATTTATGTTCGTTATATGTATAGAGAAAGAAGAGCGATCAAATGCAAACCACTCATATTTCTACAAACCGTGCAAACCAACCACATCCGTCAATTTCATTGTTTAATCTTATGAAAATTTGTCATAAAGTTGTCGGTGAACCGCCCCCCCCCCCCAAAAACAATTCCTATATTTAGCTTTCTTTTTTTGCCAGAATGAAAACTAAGTTCTCAATTATTTTTTCTAATTTTTTTCTAATTTTTTCATACTTTATTTAGATGTGGGCACTCCTCAGTTCGAGGACAATCTCTCAGATACACATTAAGATGTTGACCCTTTTTCTTTTCTTCGTTGATTCCTCTCAATGAAATTTTTCATGATATTATGAAATTGTTACATATAATACTTTTTTGACGAAGTTGTTTCATATATGGTTATGAAATTGTTTCATATCATACTTGTGAAATTTTAATGAAATTGTTTCATGTATTTTCTCTAAAATTAATATAATGAAGATGATAATATCTATGATTAATACTCTCCACAATAAAATTGATTAATCAACCTCTTATAATTACAAAAAAATGAACAAAATGCAAAATGTTATTTTTCATAAATGAGTAAGGATGGTTGTTCTTTTTTCATCTATGTTCATTTGTTTACGTCCGTTTAACATTTAACAAACAAATATAAACGAACACGAACAAAACCACATTTTATTAACGAACGAACATGAACAAAAAAATTGTTCCTTTGTCGTTTATGTTTATTCGTTTGTTCAGTTAAGTTAAACGAACAAGCACAGACAAGCCTCCATTCGTGTTCGTTTACAACCCTATTTGGTATGTGGAACGCACAGTACAAGACAATACTAGATTGAATAAACTGTCTAGTATAGTATTTGGTAACACTTGGACATGTCACTTTATTGTCTTCAAGCGCGCTTACCTACTTTGTGAAAAACTACCATTCATATACGGCCAAAAGCTTGTATATCTGAAGACAAAGGACAAGCTCACCTCTAGAAGTTTGTCACGTGTTATGTACCTTCTGACTTGCATTTAATGCAATGAGTATAAATAGCTATGGGGACTCTCTTCTCCATATCCTGCGAAACTAAGCTTACTTTCAGCGAAGAAACAACACGTACATGTGAAAGTGAGCTACTGTAAACAATTTGTAAAATTTGTATTGATCTTTTTATGTGTTTGTATTCATCCTCCCTCTTCTACAAATTGATTACCTATAACTCTTGTAGATCCACCTGGACCAACAAGTGGTATCAGAACAGGAACTTCCTTTGTTGTTGTATTGTTGTTTTATTGGTATTTTATTATCGTTTCTTCTCTAGATAATTTATTCCTTTCAAAATGGCTTTGCAAAACACTAGCATCCACTTTCACAATAATGACTCTCTTGCCAAACCTCCCCGTTTCATTAGAGACAACTTTAGTCTCTGGAAGAATCAGATGTCTCTATTATTGGGAGGTGTAGATCTTGAGATTCCATACTATATATAAAATGGACCTTATGTTCCATATGTTATCTCTCCAACAGTTCCTGCAACTGCTACGACTTTCATGATTCCTGAACGGCGGATTTCAAAGCTCCCTCATCAATGGAGTGATGAAGACAAGAAGAAGATGGTTTTAGACACTCGTGCGAGGTCTATAATAGTCATGGCTCTTCCTGACGAGGTATATCACTCTGTGATGAAGCTCAAAACCGATATGGGACACTTTATATGTTTAATATGAAGGTACTTCAGAAGTACAATAATTGAGGAAGAAAAAATTAGTAAGACGATATGAAAGCTTTCTCTGTGGAAAAAATGAAACCTTGTCTGAAAGACATCAATGATTTAATTGTTTTCTTATTGATTTAAGGACAGCTGGAAGAGAATATTCCAACTCTGAGACCCTGACAAAATGTAATGTTCGTTTTAAGTTATAGTTGGTCGGGTCTTGAAATTTAATAGCAATGGAAAGTTCAGGGGTAAAAGTCTGGCATTTGTTGGAAGATGAGGGACCAATGGTGAAACATTGGTCACCTCCTTATGTTAATATGGTTTTGGTTCAATAAGTTTTTGAAGGTGGCTGAAATTCATGTAGGGGAGGGTGTTCATATCCATGCACTGCCTCAACCCCCTGTCTTTACTAAACTTACTACATATGGTAAGTAAAAGAGTACTGAAAAAGGTTTTTGTGAATACTTTGGCAATCTTGATTAAAAGGAGGAGAAAGCAGAGCATTCATTGAGGTCTCAAAAAAAGGTGAGTTCTTACAAAGTCTTGATAAATATGAGTTATTATGTTTCATGTAAATTACCCGATTTATGATCTTAGATGGTGTATTGGTATCAAACTAACATTATACCAAAACTATTACTAATTTTCATCGCACAAAGACATGTTCGATAAGGTCTCTTCGTTGCTCAAAGTGTTGTCTGGATTTTACTTTTATTGCTCAAAGTGTTGTCTGGATTGGACCTTTATCGCCCAAAGTGTTGTCCGGAGTGAACCTTCATCACCCAAAGTGTTGTCCGGATTGAACCTTCATCGCCCAAAGTGTAGTCCAGATATGGTCTCTATTGCTCAAAGTGTTTTTCGGATATGGTATTCATCGCTCAAGGTGTTTTCTGGATATGGTCTTCATCACTCAAAGTATTTCTGGATTGGGTTTTCATCGATTACAGTGTTGTCCGGATATGGGTCTTCATCGCTCATAATGTTGTCCGGATATGGGTCTTCATCGATTACAATGTTGTCCAGATAAGGGTATTCATCACTCATGGTAGTATCTGGATGAGGGTGTTTATCGCTTAATATAGCTTAGTGTGTTTCCGGGATCAGGGTGTTTCAAACTTTAACCAATAAACTCGCTAATTATTGATAGATGGCGGTGTAACCGCGATAGATGGCGATGTAACCGCGATGGATGTTTTATAATTATATCATTTAAAATCAGGTTTATTAAAGTATTATGACATATTTTATTTACAGGAGGGAATTCACTCACTAGACCTTCCGGTCTAACCCTCAGTTGTTGTACTAATTTATTTTGTAGGTCATCCAACGTTGAAGGATAAAAGCAAAGGGAAGATGTAACTGAATCATGGAAGAAATTTTTTGTTATGAAGAATTTTTGAGTTCAAACTAGTGTTCTTATGTATGGAATATACTAATATGTTTGTAAATATTGGAACCTGGTGTATGTTATGCATGTGTTCTAGTTATGATATGGGGTTTTTACATTTGGTATAAGAGCCTTGGTTTAAGAGATCTAGGTATTTTCCCTGGTCTTAGACTTAAACTAGATGTGTTAATTATGTGATAATAGGTTCCACTAGGATTTTTATCAAATAATAGTAAGGAAAAGTAACATATAAAGTACATGTCCCTTTTTAGTATTTTGGGATCTTTTTCAGTGAGTCAGTCTTTACTTGAGGATTTTTCTTAAGTCATATTTAAGAAAAATCACAAGGATAGAAACTGAAACTGAAAGCTTATTCACTGACTTATAGAATGTTAGTGAATGTAAAAAGTAACACTAGAACTCATAGACTTGTGTCCCTATTACTTTTTTCAGGGATCTTTTTCAGTGAAGTACAAGAAATACTTATATTATAATCATTGGAAATATTACAAGTAGTTTAGTACATGTCTAATACTTACAGACTAGAAGATTAATCACTGAAAGTAGACATAGTAAATAGATTTACAAGGAAAAGTGAACAATATTATAAAAAGAAACTAATATAGGAAACTTAGTTCTATGCAGTTAGGTACATCTTCACCAAGATTCTTTCGACGTAGGCATTCTTTTCGTATCTTCAGGTCCACGACTTTTCCAGACATGCTATCATCTATCCAAAGCAAAAGATAAACAAGATGACCCATTGGACATAGATGTAGCTCAGACATTCTCTAAACTCTGACTTCACCTTCATAGTCAAGGAATATAACTCCTAACTCAGGTTTGAAATGCACAGAGTTGGGTGTATAGGGACCCTTATCTGGCAAGTCAAGATTCAGCATAGAAATGTCTATATTCTCATGTTCCTTCAGGAAAATAAAGAATGATGAGACCAGAGTATGGTTTTAAAGATAGATAAAATACCTTTGGAGTAAATATAGAGGCTTATGGTTGGACTATGTAGGGTCCAGGCCCTCAAATGGAAATTTGGTGAGGCAGAAGCTCTGTATAGTACATATAGAGGCTCTGTATCTTTAGAGATTCGAGGCTCCCCCTTGAGTTAGGCTGTTTGTGATTCTCCTCCTTGAACTATGCTTGGATCAAAGATTATAAGATGTGTACGAGCTCTAGATCAAGGTACGGAGGCTCTATATAATAGATATAGAGGCTCTACGTGACAAACTTAACTAATCGTCAGACTCGATCAAGACTGTTGATCCTCTCTCTCAGTAATTTGATGATAATCCCTTTTTTCCTTTCACGTTGTATTTGTGTTTATGTATTTTCAGTTCCAGCGATCATCACTGAGTATGTTCAAGTGATCGCTGAAGAACTTGCATTGTAAATTCATCAGAGACAACAATACTTCAAGAAGACAACACTCACACCAAAGAACCTTCAGCAAA